GACTGGAAAGAGGCTGCTCTGGYACTTAAGACACTCATGTCAAGTTACGGCTAGGAACCATATGGGCACACGATCTAAATGGAGACTTCATGAAAGCAGCTGCTGATCACAGAAAAACCCAACACAGTTTCTGTCTTGTGCGTGGCATCTACCTACGTTCCCCAGACGAAAAATTTCACTTCAGAAACACCAAAATTAACAGGTTTGACATTCATGATTTCTCTTTAGCCAGTTGTTCGTTGAATCTWACTTAATGGGCAAAAGGTTTCAAACACTCCAGGACTCCACTTTTCAGCAAATAACCCCCCTACCCTGGTTCATCTCCATCGCTGCTGAACGCACACTTCACATCTGTGTGGACTCTGCACCAAGCGCAACAGTTACTGACTGGAGCTGATGGAAAATTTCAGCACTGATCTTTATCATCTCCCTCCAGCTTTATAAGCTTCCCAGCTTCCGGCAGGCAGCCGGGACTGGGGGACACTGTGGAGTCCCGGCTTCCAGGGGGCTTGGCACCACGGGACCTCCTCAAGTGCCCAGTGCACCAGTAGGGAGAATCCTGCTGTGTTTCAGTGCGTTAGTTATTCCAGTGACCTGCTCCAAGACTGCATCCCACAAAGTCCAAGGTGAGGAAGAGGGCTGGGGGCACATCATAACAAATCTGAAGTTTCCCTGAATGTTTCTCGATCAGCATTCAGAGAGCGGAGGCTGCAGCAGAGAGCAATCCTGTAAGCCACCACAGTCTGTTATGAGTCTGATTCAGGCTCCCCATATATTACAGCGTGGCAATATACKTCTGCTTTCAGAGCCAAGCAGCCACGTAATACCGTTCCAAGTCAGCACAGTGGATAAGTGATAATTTAATCTCAAGCTTCATTAGTTCAGCTGTTGTATGAAACACGGCAGATGCTGAAGAACCAGAAAGCGCAGTCCCTCCACGCCTGCCACCTGGCTAAATAACAGTACAGGGAGACTGAAAATTCACACTGGTCCAATTTACAGAGGGTCATCACGGGTGTGTAATGAAGCATTCCCTCTACTGGAGCTGATTACAATAATCAACTTCCATCACATTCGAGTTTTCCTTCTGGCTGGTTTTCCTTCCCTCCCATTAATGCCACATTTGCCATCATTCCCACATGCCCTGTGGGAGCTCCCCCTAATACCAAGCCTGCAGGAAACAGCAGGGCCCTTTGCCAAAGGGGCCTGGCAAGCAGAAGCCCAGATGTGGCATGACAAGAAGGCAGCCCCGGGCTCCTGTTCATATCCCAAGAATTACTGCTGAAAGAAAGCCGGATTCCAGGAGCTGCCTTGAAATGTGGTCATGCAGCCAGTGCCGTCGTCTGCCTGGGATTCCTCTCCCATTTGCAATGAGGGCCTTTTCCTGCATCCTGCCTCTCACAGCCTCTGCACACAGACCAGCTTCTTTTACTACCTCATAGTACTGAGTCAAATCCAGGACAACCCTTAAAAACCAAAGTTCAACCTCACTTTCAAGCCTGCACAACTAGGGACTCAGAAACAGGGAACAGCACATCCAGCACTGCGTTCGCACATTAACATCTCTTAGTCCTTAGGAAAGGCTTAAGTTAAGGCTCCTGCATTTAACATTAACCATGCCCTAACCACATCYCCTGTTGCATGATCCTCCCAGGCTCCATGACTGACCGGCTGCCCTGGACAGCTCTCCTTTTGGGGAGCATGTGTCTACAGCATCCTTTCTAAAGGCCATTTATCCATATGCGAAAGCCTCGTATTGTGACTATGTATGGTAATCTCCCTCTTTCTTAGGATGAGCTACGCAGCAGCATTTTGTTGCCAATATCCTTGGAGAAGGAGACACATGAGCTGGGCTCTCCTGTTAATTCATTTTGGACATGGTCACTGCTTGAAAGCTTTTACAGAGTTGGTAAGAATTTAACCTGCTGCTCATCCAGTACCCTGACATTAACTGTAATCACTTGAGTGGGATTTTCAGAATSCACTTCAGTGCTCTGGTTCACCTTTAATGGTAGGGAAGGGGGTGAAGAGAGGTGACAAGGGGTTTTTAAGCCCTGCTCATCACCCTCAGCAGCCATGGCACGGGTTTTTGTGCATCACACACCATTCTACAAAGAACTCTATACCAGTATCCACATATCACTGTCAACCTTTAACACTGATGACGTTTAACCAGTCAAAAGAGTAAGAGAAAAGCTGTCACTTCTCAGAGGCAATGAGTAGGTTTGTTTTTGAAGTGTGCAATAGGTCTGAAAGGAGGAAAGTTGCATCCCCTTTGCAGCTGTCACCTTTTCCAGCAAAGCCCACAATGATTTTCAAAATGCATCAGTGATTTTACTGTGACTAAGCCAAAAGGCTAATTTTGCACATGCTCTACAGTCGTGCAGTTTCAGATATACCTTCAAGCAGAAGCAGCAACTTCCAAAGAGGACATTATCAGACCTTGCATGCTATAGCTGCTCTGTTTTAGTATAGTTATGAGGCAGAAGTAATAGCTTATTTAGACACGAATAGACCTCCCCACTGTTCTGTTTTGCTTTGCTAACCAGATGAGGCAAACAGTTCAATTTCACAGACAAGCTTACATTCACCTTTCATGTACTTTTATAGTCCCTAACACTTAGCAATTGCTGGTGAGTGCTGACGAGTCATTCTCCTGCTACAGCTAACAATTTATTACAGGTATCCAACCTCCTTAACCTCTTTTGAGCACCTTTCCTTGCTTTTCATAAAACACAGGCATTTTAATAATAAAAAAACAACTCCCTTATTGAATGCCATACTTCTAAACCTTTTACTTGCTTTGTATTGGGATTAAAGAGCAATTTCTTACCTGAAGTTTGTCCAAGCTGTTCTTCTTCTGCAGTCCCTTTCAACACAGGACTTTCCAGAAAGGCAGCTCCTTCTTGTCCTGTGCTGGGATATCAGCTGGTTCTCCCTAGGGGATGGGTCGCTGGACCTCCTGGGCAGGCAGGGAGAGGTCATCACTGCTGCACAGCTCCTGTTCTCCAGAAGAGGGCCCTTCCAGGCTACACTCACTTGCCGCTTCACCTACCCGAGAAGTCTCTGACCTCTCTAATAAAAAGGACGTGTTAAATTGCTAGAAGGACAGCAAACTGAGACACACACAACAAAGGTTATTTTTCTGTTGGGTTAGCAGGCTGAATCAGTTCAAAAATGAGGGAAGAGTGGGATTGCCCAAGTGGGCATGGGGTGAGGGTCTTTTCATGGTGGACAGCGCTTTTCATGGAGATGTTAAGAGAGGTTTAGGTGTCTGTGGAACTGGGGCCAGCAATTTCTACAATGTTGGGCAAAACGGGCAACTAATCACCCAAATTCACCCACACTGTCGAGACCTTGTTACTATTAAAACCACAGGTAGATTCACTAGAGCCATAAACACAATGTTTTTCCTACATGCTGATTTCATTATAGGTTAGGAAGCCAAAAGGCAGTACAAGAGGGATGTGGAGCTGCTGGAGAGAGTCCAGTGCAGGGCTACAAGGATGATCAGGAGYGTGGAACATCTACCCTATGAGGAAAAGCTGAGAGAGCTGGGCCTGTTCAGCCTGGAGAAGAGGAGGCTGAGGCGGGGCCTGATCAGTGTCTATAAATATCTTATGGAACAGACAGAGGAGGATGGKGCCGGTGTCTGTTCAGTGGTGGCCAGCAATAGGACAAGAGGAAACAGCCACAAACTGATGCACCGAAAGTTCCACAGGAACTTAAAGAAACATTTCTTGACAGTGAGGGTGTCAGAGCCCTGGAACAGGCTGCCCAGAGAGGTTGTGGAGTCTCCTGCTCTGGAGATCTTCAAAACCCGCTTGGACGCAGCCCTGTGCCCCGTGCTCTAGGTGACTCTGTGTGTTCTGGGAGGTAGAACTAGATGATCTTTAAAGGTCCCTTCCAACCTTAAGCATGCTATGGTTTGCTGGGTGCTGTAAGCTTGGCCATGGTAAACAGCATAGTGAACCAAATCTCTTCTCCCTGCACACTACACGAGAGTGCAAAAACAGTCCCATAATGTGCATGCRTACACCCAGGTTAAGACACATTTAATTGAATTGAATGTGGTATGACAGCATTTATTTCATATGAAATAACAAAATAAGCTTAGTAAAGATGTGTATTTTTACTTAGCACCAAGTTTTTATTGGACTATGTTTACCCCACTTTCTTTTTAAGGATCTCTTTTGTGTTGGAATATCAAGCATTAAAATACCTCATTGACAAAGCTTCTGCTGTAATAATTACACAAACAACACAAAGAAGGTTTCCAATTTTTTTCCTCATTAATCCATCTTATGAATCTTCTTGTACTAGAAACATACAATACTGAAGACCTCAGACATAAGCAATATCATCTATTGAAGCTTTAATAAAGAAGTTGTTTAGTTTGCTTTTTAAAATTTGAAATGTTAGAACAAGCAGTGCCAAATAAACACTTTCCTGAGCCACCTGAAAAGCTGAAGTGTCTCAGGCTAATATGATAATAGAAGGATATTAAGTTTCTGCACTTAACTCACTATTCACCTTTGAGAAGAGTGACCATCTGGGTTTGGAACAAAAATCTACCTTTACTTGAGAAGAGTGGTATCATGAGGAAGGAATCTTGCTAAATGGATAGGAGCAATGACTGCAAATAATATTGGCATAGAGGACATACTGGGCTGATGAGTGCAATGCAAAAACCTACCTATGCGAAATACTGCAGTGGCACCACTTTGTTAATACAGTTTGTGCTGTAGTCACAGTCTTTTCCGTAAAGTTTTAAACCGAGCATAAGTGACAACTGTACTTCCCTGGGCAGTAAAATTGATTAGTGTTCACGGTATCACTTATTCACCTTTCTCAATTTCAAATTAAATTGCAGTTCCCTGAAKAAAACAACAAAGCCAGAAATGGTTTTACTCCACACTGTCTGTAAGGAAGACTGGAGGGCACATCCTTCAGGCACYTTTCCTTCCACCTGCACTATATTCACTCAGTCAACTCCCTTCTCATTAGTCTACATGCCTGGTGGCCCAATTCTACTGTTCGCTGTGGATCAATGCTGCAGGTACCTCTGAGCACAGATGCTCTCTATAAAGTCAATCTAACATCATCCTGCCCAAATCCTAAGAGAGATCTCTGGAAACAGCAGCTGTATTTGCACTGTCCACCAACTTASATCATTTGGCCATCAGAGCCTCGCTTCAAACTTAGCTGTATGGGCTCTGCTACATACATTGGAGCCTGAGACCAAAGCCCCACCAGATACTTTCTGAATCAGAAATGGGATGCCTCTGTCCCAAAACAGTATTTCATATTGCTGAGGCCCATGGAATAAGAACTGACCTGYTTTCTGTTGCTCAGCAGACTTCAGAAGGATGTGAGCAGAATGCAGTACTTAAAAAGCAGTATTTTTTTCCGGCGTTGGCCAGCAACACCATAGATATGTATTATGTTGTATGTGCATACAGGTTATGTACATACACATGCATGCACATGCACCATTGTAAGCCACCCTCAACATCTAATAGCACCATATTTTTAACAGTGGATTTTAAATTTTATCAGCACCTATAACTGAGGTTACATTGCCATCACAGAGGTTAACAAGTCTAACCTTACCATGCTGCATATCCTGACCTCACAGATACCTCAAGTGAAGTGAAGTAAACGCTTAGCCAAAGGTCTCAAACCTGTCTATGAAAAAGGACAGTTAGACTTTGTGGCCTTCATTAGATTAACACATTATAGCTAGGTCCAAACATTTCTATTAACTTTCATAAAAGTCTGTCTAGAAAAATTATTATTGCCAGTCTTAGCTCTGTATCCATAGTGACACTTTTACTTACGGCTATGTGTCTCACTCTAAATTGCATAAAACGTGTCACTCCTCTGTATTACAACCTCAAATTGTCTGGTAGCTAGGGAGTAAACCTGAGCTTTTCCAAGAGCCCAAAGGACCAACACATCCAACTCTGTCGGGTTTCAGTGGAATCTGAACGTCAGACTTGGTCCAGCTCTTCTGAAATGCCCAGCTACAATTCCAAGGGTCCAGTCTGGTCTCCCTAAAGGTTCTGCCATTTTCGTCAATAGCAAAACATATCTATGGTCTGGCTCATATTCTCCTAATGATTGAGGACCACAGCTAGGCAGATACTCCAGGTCCCAAATGTCTCTCCCAGATTTGCATCTCTCCTAGTAGGTTCTGGAGTAGATACAACTGCTCCATCTGTGAATTACAATTACTACCTGGGTAACAGAGTAGATGTAAATAGCTTTGCTTTTACAGTACCATGAAATGCTGCTCCATGACCACTTAAAATCTATCTGGAATTTACCATTCCAGATTTGGCAGGGCTTTTAAGTTGGAACAAGWCATTTACAGCAGGAGAAGACTGGCCAGGACTGGATATCTCTGAGGTATCCTTTCAAGGTTCAGTCAAGTATTAAGTGAACAACTTTCCTTTTAAGAAACACGGTGTTTAGATTTGGCCTAAATATCATAATCAGCTATAAAATTCCTCTTGTAAATTTAGATGAGGATGGAAGCAAGCACATAGTTTAGAGAAACACTGCCACTTTGCTTTGATTCCTTTAAAAAAAAAGTAAAAAATATTAAAATAATAATAATAAAAAAAGAAGTGAGCAACCACAGAGGTGCCTGGACCAGAGCAGAGACCACCCAGGGCAGTCCTGGGCCTGCCCGGCCAGCTGCCCTCACTGACTGCTCTTGAGTACTCGGTGCTGCCATTTCAAGGAGGGTTCAGAAAAAAGAGAAAATACAAATTAAACATTCATTAAGAAAAAAGAACCCCAAATTCTTGTACGCTTCTCTCTAGCCTCTATGCATACCTAAGAAGTACTAACTGCTGACACATTTCAAGTTTCGTTACAAATTTTGGACCATTAAAGGAAAAATTTGTATTGAATTATGACTGATAAGCCTAAGGGATGTGTCTGGACCCCCAAATTCCATTTACACTGGGAGGTTCAAAAGAGAAAGAAGCATGAAACCTGTAAACAGAAGCCCTGTTTAAATTAACTATATAAAAAACAGCTAATGTTGAGCAGGTTGATTGTTAGTTTCTTGGCTTTGAGACGATTTTCTTCTAGATTTAGGGTAATTTTGTTGCTTGAGGCCTCGCTGATTCCAATATCTTGCTTTGTTCCGAACTCGGGGATGGCTACACGTGAAGCAGCACCGAGTGTGTATTGAGGGCACCGAGCACTTGCCGATGCCTCTCAGCCTCTGGCAGAATTGAGCTGACAGCTGATCCTTGCTGCAGGAAAGGCCTATAGTGGAGGAGATGAGAAGAATTAGCTATATTTTGCTAAAAAATAGTCTCCACATTTCCAGAATATTCAACTGCATTAGTCTGGACAGTCTTGTCTGTTAAGGTTCATCTTTATGATGGCTTTCTCTTCCTTGGTATTATTTTTCAGCTTCATCTCCCTGATGTTCTGGCACTCCCAAGTGAAAAGATCCCATTAAACTTCACATGACCTTCTGTCTTGGAAAATACAGCACTTTTTATTATTGTTCAGCGAGCATTTACTTTTGCAGCAGACGTAACTGATCTCTGTTTTTCAGTTTAATGCTTCTGCTTTTAAGAAGTGCCAGCAGGATTCCAGTAACAACGACGTGTGCCTGGTTCTCTGGCATTCCCACACCCGGGCACTGGAGACGGGGCTGGCTGGGTGTTGCAGGGAGGTGCAGGGCCAGCAGCGAGAGCACGAACAAGGCATGTGYAACTACATGATGAGCTTGACTCCCCTGAAGCACCAGAACAGGTTGCCAACTGGTAAGATCTGTACTATGGTTCTGATACACCTATAGCAGCTTTAATAAAGTGAAATCTGTCAGACGTAGTCAAGCATAAACATACCGTCAGTCCCTTGGGAGAAGGAATGGTTGCAAAGGGACATGGTTGAGGTTTGCAAAAGTGGGAAGGTGGTAGGATAGCTGAATGCAGGGCTGCTGCTCAGCAAATCCGCAGCAACAGAAATACATCAATGAAAGTAGTAGAAAGTGGGGTTTAAATAGGTAAGAACATTTCTTTATACAGCAGCCTGTGAACTGCTGGAACTTGCAGCCAGAGGAGGTGATGGAAGCAGACAGAATTGCAGGGTCAAAAAAGGATCCACTATATTCACTGAAAAAGTTCCATAAATGTAAACTGAAAGAACGGGCTCAGGCTGCCTTTAACAGCCCTAACTCAACAGCTGAGGATACGGGATGAACACAAGGGAAATGAATCACAGGAAGCAACTAAACTTAGGGGGAATGCATCCTCCCTAAGCAGCATCTCCTAATGCCTCTGTTGAGACAGAATCCCGGGCTGCATGGACCACTGGCCTGCCCAGTGGGCATTTCTTATGCTTTATTGGCCTCTTGAGCTTTTACTCACGGAAGTAACTATTAACAAATCTGTGTAGGTGCTATTTATCCGAGCACGTGCTGTCCTGAACATGAGAGGAGCAGAAGATGAACAGCAATTCAACTCTAGGGCAAAACAGGACTAAGGACTTCCAAATGGCAGGATGGGTGACTCATAGCACACACGAGGGCACGCCAGGTCTGCACTGCCTGCAGGAGTCAACCTCTCGTCTTCCTGACTTGCTGGATCTGCACTGCTGACTGAGAGGAGGGAAGAATCATCCTCCTAAAAGCCTCTGAAAGCTCCAAAGTCTCTGAGCTGGCCTTGTGCTTACCATATAGTGTCTGCTGGGTACTGCAGTACACAGACTATAGAGCTTTTTGGCTTTACCCCCACTTCATCATCATCATAACAAGGGATGGAAGATCTATAGAGCTGAGAGAAAAACTGTGTCTATGTTCACTGATAGACACATTCAGTTTTCATTGTATTTTCCAGTTTGCTTGTGCTCTCATGCCAGAACTTGCAGTTTCTACGGGGGGAATCTATCTTAAGAAATAGCATCCTCTTTGATTTGGGCTCCACTGTGGTGGTGTTTCTATTTCAAAAATGCTTGCCCACCTTCTTCCCAGGGGGAAAAAAAACAGCCTCTGACACTTGTTACTGCCTTCTAAGTGCAATATTTTTATATATTATATAGCATATATATATATATGCTTTGGGTCCTCCATGGCCCCTGTCAAACCAAGCACAGCCTGCTGATTTGYGCACTCCTAGCTGCACACAAGCACAGCCCCTCCACCCCAAGAACTGGGGTTTCAAGCTGAAACAACTGGGGTTTCAAGCACGACCTGTTGCAACCCTTCTTTCACAGCCCAGAGCTGTGAGCTACCTAACAGGAGGTAACAGGTCCGGTGGGGAGGGAGAACGTGGCAACACGACCCTGTCAATAGCCTGGCTGAGCTGGAGGGGTTAGGCCAACCTGCAACTGCTGAGCCTGCAGTAGTCCCAGCAAGTCAAGAGATCAAGTCAGCACGAGGCTCTTGCAGCACCAGTGAYGAGCTCTTTGGAAACTGCCTGCCCGAGATGTAGCATCATACCTGAGCTTTCCTCACACTCTTGCAGATTGCATTTCTGATGCTCCGTTGGCTTGGGCTTATCYGCACACAGACGGTGGTCTTCAGTCTCATTGCTGTCTGTATTGAGGCACTTCACTGTTCTTTGCTGAACGCCTCCTCCACAAGAGACAGAGCACTGAAAGAGCATCATTTTAACATATATAAAAAAGTCTTTTAAATGGAAGTTGTTTAATATGCCAATATTTGAGCTGTATAACAATGGGAAGCCAAAAATGCCATAYGGTCCATATCCAGTGGCACAAATGTACTGTGTGCATTGCACTTCCAGCTGGACACCTCCCTGGTGCCTCATGGCTAGGCTTGAGCAGGGCACAGTAAAGAGTAATAGTAAATAGTACTAATACAGCATCTTGGCATACGTAGGTGGGGAAATTGCTTTCTCCAAAGGAGAAGGCAGAGCTGAAACACAAATTCTGCAAGGTAAGAACACAGTAATCCAAATCAGGATTCCAAGTTGACAATTTTTCATTTCCTGCATTTTTTTTTTACTGGCTGCCTTCAGCAAATTAAAAAAGCCCAGTGAGATGACGGTTTTTGTTTGTTTGGTAATATTTACAATGTGGTTACCCTTTCCTTATGACAAGGAAATTACTGCCAGCTTGTTCTGGCCATATGGAGATGACCATAAAGACAACATTTTCACAACATATTCCTGTACTATTCTGAAAATGTACTTAATTCTTCAAACAAAGAGTTTATGAGAATTCCAATGATTTTTACACTCTTATTCTCTCCAAATACATAGTAGTCAGGGAGAAAAACACTTAAACAAATACAGAATAATAAAATTTTTGATTGTTTGGAAATGCACACAGAAAAAAATGGAAAATGTTTAGAAAAGCACAGACATCAACAAAAGTGATTGTTCCTGGCAAAGACTCAGTCAGACTTGTCCTTAAAAACTCAAGCTTTTTCCCCTCCCGCTCTAAAGATTCCCTGCCCTGTCATGCTCTTGAAGTGCTGCCTGGCTCTATGCCTAACAGAATATGACTGAATTTACTACTGAAGTAGCCTTTCTCATGGAAAAAACGAAAGTGTGTCAATGATGATTTCTCCTTTTCTATTAAAAGAGTATTTAAAAAGCAACAAAACATTTCTCCCTCCAACACTCCATAATGTARCAACTAAGAATAAAAGCTCTACCAGCTGAATGAACTGAGATGAGCTTGCTCTGAAACGTCTGGTTGATATTTTTAAAGGATTTCCTTCACAGCTCTAGCTGTCTATTAGAAACTAAACTTGCCAGAGGCACTGAAGCTCACAAACAAGTGGGGGATCTGCTTAATCCCTCTTTGCTGTAACTTGACCTTTACTCTTCAACTAATAGCAACAATTTAAATATGATCTAATATGACCAGCTCATGATTTCATGTAAGAACAGATTTAGTCGTCAAAAGCTTTTGAAGCCTGAACATGCTAGCTGAATRCCAGCTGAGTACCAGTATGTCCTTAGTGTGTCAAAAAAAAAGAGAATACAATAAATAAATAAATCCTACCGAGCCCCAGGTCTGGTTAATCCACTGTGTACAAGGYTGCATGTTGCACAGTGCAGTGGCATTAGGCCTTTCCATCCAGTCGCAGTAGCCTTCTTCTGGGCAATAGACACGTCGCTTTTGCTGGCCACCACCACAYGTCCTCGAACACTAACAACAGAGGAGCACAAACCATCACGGGGCAGGTTGGAATGAGCAACACATCCCAGAAACACAAAGTAAAGGGAGTTGAAAATGCTCTTTGCTTAGTAATGTGGAATGACAGGTCACAAGAAGTGACCTCTTTCATGTGTAGGAGATGTCCAGGCTAGCTTGCACACCAAGCCTAACAGCGCAGATGTGAAGATAAGCTCTGCATTGATACATTTATTTTGTTATTTGCTCACATAAGTACAAGGAACGAGCTGCTAACAGCTCAAAATACAATGGAGAAATCCATTCCTGCCTTGTGCGAATGAATATAATTCACAACATGGTCAGAACTGGTAACAGCAGCTGAGGCAAGACCAGAGGCAGCAATGACTTCAACAAAAATGACTATGTATGTTATAAGTCTGCAGGTTCAATCTGCAGCATTTATAGGAGACAGTACAAGTCATGGGCAGCAACATCTCATTTTTATAAGGCAGTTGTGGACATTAATATTCACCCAATGCATCCAATTTATTATCTCCAGCATGTCAATAAAATAAAATAAAATAAAATAAAATAAAATAAAATAAAATAAAATAAAATAAAATAAAATAAAATAAAAGCATCACACAAAGGCATTGACCTAAATTCTTTTTAAGCATTCTTTTGTCCCTATTTTATTATATTAATCAACTGAATATTATTATTCAGTAGGTCAGCAGTCCAGCTTGCTTGAAATACACACAAGCTTTGGTACACTCGTATGCTGGAAAGGGTCAGAGATACTTTGGATAACACTGCTCTTCTTTTCGTGGAATGGCAACCTTATGGACAGACACAGGATCACAGCTTATTTCTGACAAACGTTCATTTCAATCCAATTCTGTCCAGCAACCTCAACATGAGGACAACTGCCAGGGATGGCCAAGAGCTTTCAGCAAATATTTTAAGTGGCAAAAAATCAATAATATGGCATCATTTGGCCAGTCTTCTATTACTCACCCTTTGCTGTGTTATCTCACGGGAAATCTGGTCCCTGCACACAGGATAAGGGCTCCCATTTCTTATTTTAAGTGTGGGTTGTCAGTGACCAGTAAGGAAGCAATGTGCTCATCTGTTAACATCAATTAGCACTGGGTCCATAACGCAACAAGGAGTGCGGCACTTTYTCCAGAGCTTTTCTTAGATGGAGCAAACACTGAAAGGGAACCATCATGCCACATGCTCTAGATGAGAAAAACATGTGCCTGGAGGATCATGAAAGTTTACTGGTCCAGATTTACACCACAAAGTGACCCAAAATCAAATTTATCTCYGATCTAATTCTCTGCCCTCATAAAATTCCAGATCAAAAGTGTAAAGGAAAATTAGGAATTTAAGAAAATTCCAAATTGGTCATAAGAACAGAGCAATATAAAAATTGTCAGCCAAATTATTCAGTCTGTATGAATCTCATTTAGTGATCTAGCAGGACACCCAAGACAAATCCACTTGATATGCAARGATGTTTGCTCCTCTGCTTCAGGGTATGGTTATTTACAGTCCTAACTGAGTATCATGTGCAAYGCTAGGAATAATCCTGGTAGGTCTTTCTCTACAGTAAATTCTCCTCTAACCATACGCAGGGACTGCAAAACTTGGTAATAGTTCGTCCCTTCCTTTGAGGGACAGCATCAGACATAATTGTCCCTGTTGTCTGATGGATAATTCCTCATTCCAAAACCTTCCTTCAAAGGACAATACCTCATCCCAGGGCTCCACTTGCCACTGGAAGCAAGGCTCCATGTTACAGCTAGTGCTGAGCTGTGGCTTATATCCAAGTAACTGGCAATGAAAAGGCCTGAGAAGTCGCTTCTCACGAACATCCACACACTGAACATCTCGGATCTTGAAGCCGCCGTTGCAGCTAGCAGAGCACTGTATATGAAACAGAAAGGACACACACTCAGGGACAGTCCTCTTCCCCAGCTTCAGCGGGGGATGATGGGCATAACATTCTAACATCACGACTCACAGGCATAATTTCCAGTTTGCCCTAGGAATAATTTGTTATTAGGCTTAAAAATCATGGGTTTTGTCCCTGCAAATCAGAAAACACCATATGAATATTTCCCTTTCTTCACTGGAACATCCATTAATAACAGATGCAGATTTAATTAGCCAGCAATTTCCAAATATGTCATAGAAGAAAAAATCATAATGCAATAAAAGTAAGAAAAGAAATCTCACGTATGGGAGCAACTAGCCAGCCCTTCAGCTGTTCCTGCTGCAGGCAGGCAGAAGGAGACATCGTTGTGCGAATAACTCACTTCCAGTTCAGCCATGGAAGAGGCTGTCCATGGCAGCAAGTTGCTCAGGCCGGTGAAAACACTTCTCTTTTTGGAGAAGGAAGTCGAGTTAATGATGATACCACTGGGACAYTGGACTGGGGACACAGCACTGGACATTGCTGTGGGAACTCATCCCACAGCAGTAGCTGCCATCCTCATCTGCCCCATTGATGGACAGCAGCAGGAGCAGTAATTTGGCTTTTCATTCCTATCTTGCCTTYTCTGCCACCTATTTGTCCTTCCACTCCCTCTCTCTGGGCACAGCAGGACCTTGGGGATGTGACACCCAGCAGCAATGCAGGGGCTGCAGGACGACAAGTCTCTTGTCTCTGTGCAAGAAGGAGCCATGGAATGGAGCCATCACATCATGGTGGTGATGRGAGTCACAGCCCTCATGAGTGGAAGCAGGCTGGGAAAAAAGGATGAACACCCTGATGCCAGGCCTGGGTGAGAAAACAACAAAGGAGGGAGCAGGAGAGACCTCGCTCACAGTCTGTGAAATCATTCTTCTGTATGACACTGTAGGTCCTATTTCCTACTTAGCTCCTGCCCACCCAACTGAGCCATTCCAGGCTCCTGTTCCTTCCCAGAATCTGCTCCAATGCCCTATCCAACACTACCATCTTCTGTTCCTAAACACAAGAGCCCAGGACCTATCGTGCTGTGGAACAAGATCTTAATTTGCTACTCCAAGGATAAATATACTTTGAATTACTATTTCTGTTTTCACCCAGTTCTGCCTACACCACCAAATAATCTCAAACTACCTTTGCTCTACCACCGTGTTGAAAAATAACAACTGCTGCTGCTCTCCTCTACATGAATAATCACTCTTCAGCTCGGCATGGAAACTGAACATATTTATTGTTCTGGGCACTGAAGGATGGACAGAAAAAGAATCCGTATTTTTGTACACAGATGTTTCTACACCAACAGACACAAACAACAAGCAGAATCAACTGTGCTAAAAAGAAGTACAATTCCCAAATGAGCTCAAATTGTACGTGGCATTAAACTGAGATTGTAAGCTCCAGTCTAAAAGCAACAAAGAGTCTTTCTKTAGGGGAGGAGTTAGTCCAGAGTGAAGGAACAGATAAATCCTCACTACACTGGCGGTGGATTATAACCATATTGCTGTGATAAAGGTGCAGGACAAACATTTGAAATAAGTTATAAGAATAAAAATTGCCATTTACAAAAGYAAACAAAAATAGTTATTTTTATATATGAGTTTATAATTAGATTTGTATAGCTAAATTGCAGGAAAATAAGGGTGGCTAACACAACAGAAATCTGATAAAGAATGACYTTTGCTGCAAATAGGTCGCAGGATTGAACCAATATTAGCTGCCTATATTATTTCATCTAGTTGCTTTCTTTGAGACAACTATCATTCATTATTTGCAAGAGCAGTAACATTTATGAAGACAAATTGAAAGTGAAAGGCATCCCTCTGCAAAGGGACAGCAGAACATCTATTCATCATTTAAAATGAATTTTGAAAACTTAAACGTGGTTATGTGGTGCCTTTGCCTTGCCTGGACTTTCTACACAGGCATGTATTTCATGTTTAAATCACTTCTCCGTCAAAGAGATCAGCAGCGCAAWGCAAGTTTTGTAACTACAACCTTTTCTGCAGTCTCTTCTGTGTATGAACTGATGCTTTAGTCCAACAATAACAACACTGTCCACAARAGCAGTACATTTGGAAAAAGCTTGAAATCTTTCTTTTTCTTCATTAAATCTATGTAATTTCAATTATAATTTTGTATTTTTTTCCTTCCGACTCTTGAAAAATAACCCAGTATATTGAAAGCCCCAATTCTGGAGAGTCTGGAGACAAAACATCACAAGCTACAGAAAGTTTCACCAAAGTCCTTTCAGCTGCGCACCATGTATCCTACAGCACCAAAAAAGAAACCCAGCCCAATTCCCTGAATTACTGCTGTGGACTTGCTGCTCTTGACCYGGCCCATGAACATACCTGGGGCTGATTAAGAGCGCAGCAGCAACAGGCAATCTTCCTACTACATTTTTCTTCAGCTTTTGCAGTGAAACTTGTAAGTTACAACACAAATTCTCACTTGCTTACTAAAATTAGGATAGGCTGCTAAAGGCAGAGGTACATACTTGCACAGGAAAGACCAACACAAGGCACATGCAGATATGCACCGTTTTGTCTGAGGATCTCCATAAAACAGGGACAGCAAACTCTGCTTTTAGCTCCAGGGGCAAGATCTAATGAGCATGACCCCCACACAGGAAGAATAGAACTTACAACAGATGCATTTCCATAAATAACTTAGCCAGGAAATTAGTAAATTAGAGCTGAATGGTCAACTGGGAATCATGTATGCTTTCAGGGAAGTGAATGAATAATTATTTTAAATATGAAGCATTTACAGCTCTCTAGTCTTTGAAGTCAGAGAGCTTACTGCTCACGCAGGGCTCCGAATGAGGTTACCTTGCTCCAATTTCCTGTTTTCCAGCTTGCACAAGGGCGGAGATAACATCTTCTCACAGGATCAGGCTTTTTGGTGCGCTGGCAGTCAGATGCATCCCTACTGTTACACTCCACGCGTCTCCAGAACGTCCCCAGGCCACAGGTGGTCGAGCACTACATGGCAGGAGAGAAAAGCCCAGCAGCTTTAGTCAGTCTTTCCGGGAAAAARAGTGCCTCAACATTAATATCTACAGCCTTTGTAGATGTCCTAGGTTATCCAAGAGGCTTGCGCAGACTCTTCAAAGAAGATTTCAAATTTACCTAGATTATCCTAGCTAAGATTATGACGGAGGGGTTTTTTTTCCTAATTAGAATAAYATCAGTTCTGATATACATCATGTACTGCTCTTTATCAGCAAATTTCTGCTTATGGAGACACTCAATCTCTATCAGCTGCCCTGTGGCTTCCTTCTATGATCTTTGGTGCTTTAATTTTCAATTTGCTAGAGCAAAATGTCAGTGCATCTAACCTTCATCATTTTACCTTCGCAATTCCTAATACTGCTAATGACACAATCAGCAAAATGAGTACAAGATGCTGAAAACCTCAAATACACTGTGGCAACTTTGGACTATCCAAGGGCATCTGCTTCAGGAACAGCCATGGAGCTGGTGGCAACAGAGCAGGAGTCTGACTTGTGGGCTGCACCAGACTGAAACCTTCAGCAGGATCTTGGTGGGATCTAGCTGGGCTTTAACTCCACTGCCATGGGATACTCTAAGTCATCTCATGCCGTGCCATTTAACATGGCATTCCTACATTTTCATGAACTTGCAGCATTCCAGGTGGACCTAATAGCTAGTAGGTATGGGGAGATGGATCTTGCATATCCTCCATTGATATAGGCACACAGAGAGGTAGATCAGCGCAAAGAGATTTCAAATTCTGGCCTACAGGCTTCACTTATTGCACTGTTTAAAGATGGTCATCAGGAAAGATGCCTGTTCAGTCCCTCTGCAGATGAGGTAAATTGTTCAGATACCAAAGTTTGTCACTCTAGGAATCATATTTTTAAAATAAGAAGTCCATTTGGATACAAAGAACTAACTCTGTTTACATACAAGCAAAAATTTTACAATAGAAAGGGCATTAAATGAAACTGTGTAAAATTTGAATAGGCTCTTGCTGACTATATTCTGTTATTACCAATGTTAGGAGGGGGTGGCAGCCCCCACCCAGATCTGACCCACTCTGCCATCCCTGAACACAGCAAACTGGCTGCATAGAAATCTACTTGTCAAAAAAAACATGATTCTAGGGAATCGGAAAAGGCAAGTCAACAGCAATATACAGAACGATGCAACTACATATCCAAGGCCACAGAAAATTTAGCAATCTCTACTTGACTTGACTTTATATATCAAGACACATTTTACCAYGTAGGACGCTGCTCTGAGTTGGGAAGCATTTGCTTAATGGTGAATACAAATGCTCATGGGAGGATGAGACAGAAAAGAGCCACAAAAATCTGTTAACAGACAACTGGAAATTCTGTTTAAGTAACCAAAGCATTAATGTGCTTTATCCAGTTAAAAACAACTTACCTCACTCCAGTTCCCTACTATCCAGTAGGCCTCAGCACGCAAATTGTTGGATATTATTAGGTGGCTGTTTCCTGTGACACTTGGCAGAACCTGCTTAGATGCTCCACTTTGGTTCCTGGGAGCACGCTCAAGAGGTGGCAACGACGTGCTGTTGGTTGCAACGTCACGTAACTTTATTTCTGTTCTGTTGTCAGTCTGGTCTCTCAGCAGATGAGCAAACGTTGTGGGCATCGCTGTAAGGGTTGCTTCGTGGGTGGTAACATCCACAACGGGCACATCAACTTGCAGACTGTTGGGGTCTGCTGTTGTTGAAAATGCCAGTCCTTGTGGTGCTCCACTGTCAGGAAGGAGTGTAGAAGACTCATGGTGAAGAGAGGCTGGGGAGAGTGTAGGAGTTATGTTGTTGTGCTGGAGGACACAAGATCTGGTATCTAGAGTTGTGCTCTGGGTTCTGATTTCCGGATCGAATTCTGTGCTGTGAATGAGCTCAGTTGGTTTCTCACTGCTTCCTGCTGTCACATCAAAGTCATCAGATTCTTCAGTCAAGTAATCATAGCTAGGAGTTATTTCTGGACCTTTGGTAAATGAGGAGACGCGAATGTCCTCACCCCTTGGTACTTCACTCTTGACYGTAAAACCTGTCTCACCCTCAGTAACATTTTCAGCATGCCTTATATTTTCAGTASTAGAGCTATTACGAAAAGGCCATGAAGTAGTATTTTGGTGTGAACTAGTTTCAGTAAAAGCACCAGAGTAATTGTAAACATTACTTGATCCAGAAGAATTATTTTGTAATGTTTTGTTGATTGTTCCTTCTTTTTCTGAAATGCTACCCAAYGTAGACAATTTAGGCAAAGAAGCAGTTATGCTTTCAGACTTGGGTGTTTCTGTTGTTGTGTGGACCCTTGGACTTGGCATGGGTGTAAGTATTCTGCCAGGAGAACCCCGTTTGGGATTAATAGCTGTTTTTCTGATTAGGATCTTTCCTCTTCTAGGTCCCAGTGGAGGCATGAGAAATCTTCCAGCAGCCGAACATTGTTGGAGACCACATAGGGCCTTAGAGTTTGGTTTCTTGGAGATATCACATGGCTCATTATTATTTTTGGCACAAGTGACATTACGAGTCCTTATTCCACCACCACAAGTAACTGTGCACTGTGAAAGAATCAAAATTAATATATCTTCCCTCTTCATTCTGCTTCACATGTTAATGAAAATGATCATAAAATGCTATCTATTTATAGCAAAAATATTCTTACAAATAGTCAATAATAAAGCTTTTCCCAAGGACTGTTTTACTGGTTTTCTGCTAGCATGGAACTTTTAGCAGTGTAAATGACTCACTGAATATACAGTAGTGATTAAAGGCTACATGATAAAGACGGAACATGGACATATGATAAAACTTGATTTCTACAGTGAAACCACCTCAGAAGTTGTTTRGCTGATGCCTCTCCCATCAGGCATAAAAAAACGGACTAGAAATATTGCCATTAAAAAAATATCTAACTGGCTGAGTTCTGGCTGTTCACAATGCTCCAAATTTGCTGTGAAGTTTTGTGCGGCTCATAGATTCTTGCTAGATTTATGAGAGGGAGCCTTGCAGTGCTTAAGGGTGCTGGACTCCGAGGAGACTCAGCTTTTCCGTGAAGTTTTGCCTCCTCAGCTTGACAGGCACCGTGAGGCCTTTGGAAGTTGCTGCTCCACTGAGGGCTTTTGGAAATTTCAACATATGCCTCTTAGTTCTAAGTTGCTAAAGCTGGCTGACTAGCCAGTATTAATGGGGATGTTCCRTATCTCCTACTGTAGAAAGCCCTCTGAGGATGCTAGGGAGCTTGACCAGCTAATGTAGCTGGCTAAACCAGCTCTTAAAGCAGTAACTGTAAATACTGTAAGTACTTTTAAATCCTTGGAATATCTCAGCCCTGTCAGAGCTCATCTAGGTCAAGTGGTAGTAGAAACACCAGCTACCTTGTCTTATTGGTGCTCACTGTACTGTTATTACCTGTAGAATAACACTAGCTCTGCAGCAACAGGAGAGGGGAGGAAGGCAGAGAGGTGCTTTAATTATGGCTGTGTACTAAAAAAAAGATTTCATAACAGCTATAATGCTTCATCTGCATTAGCTGCTAATTAACCATGCTCATATCACAAGACACATGATGATTTTTTAACAGCCAGATAAGTTCAGAGCAGAGCAAATCCCTGCCTGTAAAAAATCTCTCTCTCATGTTCACCAGTAAAGAGCATTCTGCAATTACAAATCTATTGTCAACACTGCCACTTGTGCGGGAGAAATAATCCATCTTATGCTCCCTCTCCGATATCTGCAGCCTGGAAATTTATTTTTGTCAGTAACATGCAATAATGCTCAATGACACACAAGCACTCGCTGCATTCACTATCAGCATGCCATTTCGGTATAATTATACTGCTGGCCAGGAACACGCTGCCAACTTTTTCACAGGTAGTTAAATTATGTTGGCTACCCAATTTACAAAACAATCAACATTTGGGGATGAGGGCTTGTAACCAGCATTAGCTGAAATCAAACTGTCACAAAATTCAATTACTTCATTATCTGAATCTGCTATCAAAATTGCTAAGCCCATCACTGAGTAACCAACGCAGAAGTCTGGAGAGAGAAGGGGGAGGAGGCATTAAAAAAGTCTTGAAAGTTTTGAAACTTTCATTCTTTATTTTCACTGACACCTGAAAATGGAAAGAAATATGGAACTTGTCATGTATCAGCTGTCATAATTATTGGAGCTACATTTTCTTATCGCAYACTTCAATCATCATTCTGATAGACTCACATTCTGAAGTTCATCAGCTGTCAGTGAAATAACTGCATAATATTTATCTAACACTTTAAAGATGCACAGATATCTAGGTGTTTGTTAAGGGTTCAGATGAGAACTATAAGAGCTTGCATGCTGCTGAAAACCTAGCAGAAAAGAGATATAATGAGAAAGAGATAATTATAAAAAAAACATGAAAGCAAAAGTAATTTTTTCCATTCCTCTGTAATGAAATATACATCCTCTCCCCTTCAGTCCACAGCAGTAATAATATCTGTATGGAAGTTCTGAGCGTGCAAACAGGTTCTATTCTACAACAAAAATAGTCTGCCGAGCAAAACTCTTAGAAACCCCTAACATGCAGTGGCTTTCTTTCGTCTCCATAGAGGGATCAGGAACACATGCTAAAGAAAAAAGTAGGTTTAAAAAAAAAAAAAAAAAGTCATTAGTTCTTTTGATTGACTATAACAGAACATTCTGCAAACAAACAAATGAACAAAAACCACTTAATTCTACAGCTGACTGGAGTTTACCTCTGTCCAGTTGCTCACGGTCCAGTCAGAAGGGCACAGGACATCCCTGTTGCATGAAAGATGGGTCTTTGGCTTAAGCAGGTGCTGGCACTCAGTGACTGCCAGCGCCTGCTCATCAGATCCCACTGTCTGGATGCAAAGCACAGCTCGCTTCTTCTGTCCCGTTGGGCCACACGTGGTGGAACATTTCTGCCATTCTCCTGCCCACCACCTGAAAAACACGGGAAGAAGAAATATTAGCAGAAAATCATCTGTCGCCAACACATTAAGGAACAGGCTAAAGAATCTTTTCCTAGAGAAAGGGGTCAGAGACTCCAATCCAGAACTTTATGACTGATGTTTTGTCTTGTAGCTCAGTAATAACATTATGTAAAATTACATAAAAGTACATAACACAGGTCAGGCTTCTGCTCCGTGCTCTGGCACTGACCAGTCCCCAACACAAACTGATCTCCAAACAGCAGCAGGCACCAAGGACTATGCTTCTGGAATAAATAAGAACCCATTCAGTGATAGTCTTTCAAAGCTCCATTTGAAGAACAGCTAGGAAGCTTTGCACTCTGCTCACGTTGCTCTGTTGTTTATCTGCTTATTGTTTTGTAAGCATAGAACAAGCAACACATGGGAACTGTGAGGGGGCTGTAATTACAGAATTACAAATGTAGAAAAGCAGCCCTATGTCCTTGGACCTAGCTGGGTGCTTAGGACTGKAATAGGAAGTTCTGCATTGCTTTCCTTCAGGAAGTAAAAATAACCCCCTGCTGTGTCTCCCTGTTGATTAAAATAGCCCTCTGCAGCTCAGCAGGCATTGGTTCCCTGACTTAAAGATAACTGTTTCCTGTTCCTTCCATGGCCTGTCCCCTTTATATTCAGTTTTCCACAGTCGTCCCCAGCTGCACCCACCTGTTTTTTGAATTCTTTCTGGCTTATAACTAACATTGTTCTACCACACACATCCCTTTCAGGCCATAGAGCTTACAGCAATGAAATCCCATTCTGATAAATATACCAACATTCAATATAGGGGTTTATTACAGTTTTTGGCATACATCCTGCTCTCTCGCAATCTCCTGCTTGGTCCCCCTAATTAACTACGTGTCTGGCTTCTTTGATTTGCTGATTGTCCCTCTCCTGGAAGCAATTTATACCTYGACTGCAAAAGAGCCGTCACTGATGTGGAAGACACTAAAACCTATTCATAATCATTAAGAAGAAAGCCCTTAGCTACCAAACTCATCCATGCAACCCATCTCGTGTCCTCTGAGGAACACATCTTCCCTCATCGCTTTAGGTACTTTTAATTACCACATTTCATTTTAAATTATGCTATAAGCCCTTTGGGATGCCAAGTGCTTGCTATACTATTGAAGACTTGCCCATTGCCACCACTGCTCTGTACAAGGCCTCTAGCAGTACAGTAATAAAAGAATGAAGTATTTCTCTCCTGTCTCTTGGGAGGTTTTGTGCTCTTTCATGCTTCTGCAAACTGACAAGTTGTTGAAAAGCCAGTACCTCAGTAGAAACTAGCAATAAAGAAGCAAAAACATAATCTGGCAACCTGAATCAAGCCATTTCAGGGTCATCTGCACCTCTTACATCCGCTATCCAGTTCTCTTCACCATCTCCAGCATCTTGCAGATTGCTGACAAGTCACAAAAGGAGCTTCGAGAATGTTAATTGCTTTATTAATTTTAATGGCYGTGGACCACATATTTCCAGCTACACATGTGGTAGGATGATATCTTCTGCCATAATTTTCCAATTACTTTAAGTAAGGATTCATGTGTTTGCAGGTTCAAGTACTGAATTCTGAGCACTGAAGTATCTAAGTTTGCTTAAGAATTTGCCTTGATCACATATAACAGTGCATGATTAATTAACTGCAATTTAGAATTAGGCAGAGAAAAGCTTTGGGGAAGGAAACTTGCAGGCAGTCGTGCTGAGAGATGGTGACAATTTGCAACTGAACCTGATGTGAGTCTTTCTCCAGCAGAGCAGGGAGCCACAAAGTGCCAGTGGATGGGGTGGCATGAACTGAGGTATGTTGATCACTGGTWGCAGAGCAGCTGCCTGAGCACCCAGGGTAAACCACTGCCAGGGAGTTGGTGTTTACAAAGAAAGAGATGTCTTTTTAAATTACTTAAACGAAAGACATCTCTCTCAAATTGCTTAAAAGCAGTTTAGCACTGAGCGGTAAAGAGGGGCCCCCRGAACGGGGCCTGGCGCCACTGCTGCGGCGCACAGCTCTGCTGAGCCCCGGGATGCGGCCTGGAAGGAGCTGGAAGGCAAGCTCCAGCTCTCTGGAACCCTGCAGGAGRCCCCACCAGACGACTCTGTTGTCACGGCATGGACAGACTCCTGAGAATCCTTCCTCGAGCTCTGTGCTTGTACTCAGCTTCAGTGTTTTAAACATCACCTGCCCAGAGCATAGCACCAGGGAACTCTTTAGCAAAGCTTCTTAATCCTTCTTAATTTACAAGTATAGCAACTGYTCTTAAGTATTTCTTAGTACTTAAATAGTTCTTAAATATTAATGCATCACTATGCCCATGTGAAGCTACAGGACTGTCTTATCTTCGTAGGCAGGCACGGCATGGAGAAATTGTGCTAACAAGTAAACAAATGAAGTACMTGACTTGGGTAAATAATTTGCCTAAGCACTAGTTTTCCAAAGCTTGATCAACTAAAGAGCAGTCTGTAGGATGGAAACATCCCTTCGGTTCATTCCAGCTGCAGTTGTGAGTGTTCAGCTYTTCCCCAGTGCAGCCAGAAGCACCCATCATTCCAAAACATCAATTCCAAAAAAAGAACATAAAACTAAGAGGAACTTGTGGATAGTTTAGATGCAACTTCCTTGCTATTACAGTGATTCTGGAACAAAGGCAGGGAGAAAATCTGGTTGTCCCAGGTGGCAACAACTGCTTTAGATGAGCCCCATCTCCTTGCCCTCATGAGTTTCCAAATTCTGCAGTAACTCAGGCAGGGTCCAATAGCCTTGTTCATGGTACAGTCCCCCTCCACGCTTCGATAGGTGCTGAATGAGGTAAAGGTCCTGCTGAAAAAATCGTGGGATGGGATTTTGGAATCAGAGATTGCTACACACATTCCTTAGGGCAGAATACTCCTTCCTGCTGTTTGTGTCTTCTTTCTGTTTTTATCCAGCAACAGGCACAGCGGATCTCTCTAAGACTGCAATTTTGGCTTTATTACAGTATTAGAAATAACGTTATTTGTTCTTTCTATGTTACTGGGACTTACTACCAAGTCTAGAAGCAGAACTATAGAAGTACAACAGAAATTTGGAAAAGACAGATCCCAAATATCTTTATAATAATCTATTTATAATTATTCTGAACAAGAGGTTAGTCAGGTTAAAAGGATCCAGGCAATTTTCTTCCCAGGAAGAACAAAAGTTCTATTCACAACAGTACAAGTAGCTAAAATTCATCTCTTTTGCTTTAAGTACTATTTGTTGATATTTATTATCAACACCTATGCAGCTAAATATCTGCTTAGCAAAGAAACATATAATGGGAAACAGTGTTCCGTATACCCAGAGTTTGATCGCTGAAGTCTGACTGCATTCCTGCACAGCAGCATCACTGCAGCTTCACATGAGCTGTCGTATCACACTCAAAACTTTCCACTGTGTATGGTAACGAGTTCTGCCAGTGTTAGTTCTAGGCCAAGACGCTGCACGAGTGTATTGCCATATTTAAAATGTTTTATTTGCCTTGCTCCAGATTGTTTTAGTAGAAAGTGTGGGAAAAATAAATTTAGTCTAAATCATCTAACAAACAAGACTATTAAGACCTGGTACTTCTCAGGAACCTGGCATTTAACCTGTTTATAATTAACTCTTCGAAATGGATTAGCAAGATAAGATCTGGCTTGTGTGTTACAATCATTGTAGTAATGTTATTCTTTGCTTATACCTACTGTCTGATACGTTATCTCATTTTAATTTAGTACTCCAGTAGCTAGACTACTAGGCTCCTCTGGTAGCTTGTTCTCCATCAGTGGGATTTAAAGGATCATACGAGGGTTATGCAAGAGATGATACCTTGTCTTTTAGATGAGATGTCTCCAAAAGCAACTAGTTGCCTGTTGGGAAGTGTGAGGCCATCCAGCAGTTCCAGGTGTGCGGCTACTGCTCTGACACAAGGTCCCCAGCAGTGCTGTGTTTGGTGGCATCATCCTTGCCTCTAGCACAGATCTCAGTCATGTCTCTCTGAAGCACACGTGTTCCTTGGCAGCTTCACATGCATTCTCAGCAAGGTCAGATCATTATGACAATCACATCTTCCTCTAACATTCATCTTTTCTTTGGAACCAACAAGCCAACTAAACTCACCACCCTAAGCGCTTTAAGCTCTTTCTTGCTTTTCAGATAGATATATGTACCTGTCTGTCTGGATTAGAGATGATACCTGCCACAAAAAAGTGGCATACCAACTAAATCCAACTAAAATATATTGTATATGTTTTCTGCACTCCATTTTGTCAGTATTTTGCTCATCTACCTCAGAAGGAAAAATAATTCTTTTCCTCTACAGTGAAAAATGATCTTGAGAAAGATCATTCAGACTGACAGTATTTGATGCTTTTCTGCCTGACCAGCAGAGGAGCGAGCTTGGTTCACCTTTAATGTAATTCTGCTCTGCCCAATCAGGGATGGATCCAGCTCCCTGACTTTCAAAAGCAGGTGTGGAAAATGCAGTCACTTAGATCAAACAGGGATAACTCAAACTTACTGGGAACTTTGGAATAAATAGCACAGCTTCTACTTGCTCTAAGTACTAAGCATCCCCATACAGACAGATACCTTCAGCTCTTAAAAACTCAATTTGTTAGTAAATTTGATTTACTGTCAATTGCTTTCCTGGCAAATGATGCAGAATTATGAAAGGCTAATGGTTTATTCCTTTAACCGTTATTTATACAAGCTCCAACAGCAAAGACATAAATACCAAAGGAGGTGTCATATATTGTTGAGAATATATCTGGAGAGAGTTAAGCGGCTGTACAATATTTCTTATATTAAACCTCCATGAAACTCCCTGCTAGCAAACAAAATAYGATGCACTTTAATTATAATTACTTTAATATGATTTGGAATTATACTAGAATTACTAAGGATAGACTGTTGTCTCTCAATGTGAAACAGCATGTCAGAACAGCATGATCAAAGGTTTCCAAAGACAAGGAAAGATAAAAAGACATTTCAGTATCTAATGTGTGAAGCACAAAACACAGAGTGTACTGCAGCAACCAATACAGGGCCTGTCACGTCACTTCACCTGCACCTCTGATCCCTTCCAACAAATCAATGCCCTACAAGAAGTCAATTCCCTAGGGTGTTCTCACCTGGACTGCTTGCAGTGATTAGACTTCCTTACCCGACCTCCATAAAAGAGCAGAACAGAACAGTGATGAACAGAAATGTTATGGAAACAGAAAAAAAAATGAACAGGGAAGGAAGGAAGATGCCCTTCATGGAAGGGAACAAACAATGAAAGCACGATAAAAAGATGTCAAATAATAAGAGTTACGAAAAATAAGTTATAAATAAGAGGGTATTTCCATATATTCTCCCTTATGAAAAGATAGAGCTGTACACAAAAATAAAAACAAAATGAAAACAGCATTAAAAGCTTAATTTTTTTTTCCTGTAAATACACTTTGGGAATACAAAGTAATAAAAATCACTTATGCTGGGAGGATTGTGTGTGGCTTGCATGCACATCAGCAGCTAACCTTGACAGGACAGAGCACCTACATAGATRGCGTGTAGCAGTCTCCACTATTCACAGTGCAGACTGGAATCACCRAACGTTCAAGGTTGGAAGGGACCTCTGGAGATCACCTAGTGCAACCCTCCTACTCGTATCAGAAATCATATCAGAAATTTCTTAGGGCAGYGCACTCATTATTTTCCATTCCTGGGTTTCTGACACCTTCCTCTGAATTCTGTGGGAGTCATCACTGCAGCTGCCACAGAGAAGCTGCCACACTGATCTGGCGTCAGAACCAACTCTTCTGACCGCGGGCCCTGCTCAGCGCTCCCGGTGCCGGTTACCTGGGCGGACAGTCCTTCTCGTAGCATTTCTTCTGCCGTCCGTTCGGCTGGGTCGCTGGGTCACAGAAAGAGTTTTTGATTGCTCCGCTTCCCTTCCGCATGCAGTGGGCAACCTGGCGCTGCACCCCTGGAAGAGGCACAAAGACAAGGATAACCCTCGAAGGCAGTGGGCAAACTGCGGGAATCCGCTAGCATGGGGAGCGCACAGTTTTTGCTCCACATCTGCAGTAACAGCCGTGGGACAAAGAGATGCATTCATACAACGATACATACATCTCAGCATGCATGCAGGGCAAAGAGGGATGCACGCATTTCGTCAGAAGTAGAAGTCAGCACTGCTTTTGAGTGTCTTAATTGAGGCAGGCATGAGGATCCTTTAATCGAGCTGAGTGTTATGCAGAGCTCTGCTGATTTTGTTAGCTCAGCYACACTAGATACACTCTGCTTTATCACAATTAATTATGTTGCAGCCTCACAGGTGGCTCTTGCATGGTTTGAAATCACACCCAACTTTAAGGACTGCGAATGCTTCTTGGATTACTCTGGGATAAGAGGCAACTCAGAGCAGCATGAGGCTTCTCAGAGCAGGGAGGTTTTTGCTGTTTTATTTATCTACTTCTCAGATCAATTATGCAGGAAAAAAAAGTGTTTCACTACAAATCTAATCTGTAACTACTAATGCTGCACTACAATTATCAATAAATAAATAAAAAGTCCAGAACTTGGCCTGAAATAATGATGCTGTAATACATGGGAGAAAAATCTGTTTTGCATCTGACTGACATGCAGCACTAATTGCATGGGCTAAACCACTGTAATGCAGAGAGACAGATACACATCCCAGACATACAGTGTGGCTTGTGTACTAACAATTCTACCCACAAAAACTCCCGCTCAGCTAACAGGAAGAAGCAGGAATCAAACTACTGTGTCACCCTAACGTGCATCCAAAGCAAGCCAGGCTCCAGGGGCCGGCATCCCACACGGAGCTTCGCAATAATCTGAAGTACGTCCTCTGGTATATAAAGTTCTGCATTATTACAATTTAYAAGGCTCTAAGTGATGCAGCTGCAACACTGGCATTGAACTCAAATCCCAAGGCCTCTMAAAGACAGAAGAAACCTTGTTTATTAACTCCTGTTAAATTAACTGCACTGTTAACTCACAGCAATTATTATGTAGAGCTTATATTATCTCTCTGATTTTTATCCTCATCCAGGGAAAAAATGGCCCCAATAGYTAGTATTAATATAATGTCAGCGACAAATGCTATCACATTTTGCAGTATGTTTAGGAATGAAGTTTTCATTCTCTTTAATGACTTGTATGGGAAACTATCTGGAAAATAAGAGCAGTAATCCCTATAGAATATCTGGAAAATATAGAAGTGTTCCTGTGTATGATATATATTTCCCTATACGACAGCATGCCCATATATAACAATTAAAATGTATTTCCTAAAGCTTTATGCTAGAATTACTGCTGTCTCACCTGCAAACTTGTGACTGGGCCATATAAGACAGCACGGTACCAATAGTACCTATGACAGCATGGGTTCTGCTCACTGAATCTCCTGCTATGAGGTTTATTCTCTAAGACAACGATTAATTTCTCATTTTCCCATTAATCCTGCTGGCCAAGACCTATCCCATAGCTCCAAACAGTGGGAACCATCCTGCTGCAGTGCCATTATCTCAGGTGCTGTAATTCACTTCAAAACTGCTATGAACTTCTGCAAGGGTCTTGCTTTAGGGCTGTACATCCTCATAAAACATKTGCTGACCACTGGCATCACTAAGCTAATTCATTCAGTCCTTTCATCATACAAATGCTATGGAGGCCAAGTGAATTCACACTGTAATTTCAAAATCAATGAAGTTCTGGGATGGGCTTAAATGTTAAAAGAATCAATAAATGTATAATTTTTCTATCATGACATTTCACTTCRAAAGTTGGAAGGAGTGCTTGTATGCATGTATGCAAATACATATTTATAGACTGATGTTCATAAAGGAGATAAAATACAGTTGGGTTTCTAATCTTGAGCTTGTTGAAGCAGAAAACTTTACAGGACTAGGAAACTAGTTATCTTACACTGACACACCTCTATAAAAGATTTATACAATTTCATAACTCAGTAATACATACAATCCTATTTAAGTCACATATTAAAAATTCTTAGTATGCTTGATGATCTCAGTTTTAATGAGTTTTTTAAAACTCTTCCTAAAGGGCTATGAAAGAGGTGCTGGTTTCTTCTAGTCATCTTCACTGTTTCTCTCTGACCTCAAGCTAACTAGTCCACAGCTTGTGGTGGGTATGTGTGAAGGTGCTGGTTGGGCTCAGATGGATCTTGTCTTGGGCTCTGATGCCCACTGCAAACATCTTGTTTTGTCTCATTCGCTCACTTCTCTAAATGCACTCAGGGTCTGTTTCCACCCCTCTGTGCCATTTCACCCCTAAAGCAGGAAGACTTTTTACTTGGGAGACAAAATTTGACATGCTGTGATTTCACACCTTGTTTGGTGCCAGTTAGAGATCATTTGGGGTTGGAAGGTTTTTGAGACAGAAATCTGCAGGCAGAACAGACCTCTGTTTTGGCAAAAGCAGAGGTGAGAATGCAACAGCTGAAGGTCCTGCACTTCCAAAGCAGATGAACAGAATGTGTGCGCAAAAGAGCATGTCTGGTGACACACAATGTGAACATCTAATTTCCAAACTCTACGTCACATCAGCTGCTCTGTAAGAATAGCACGTTAGTATTTCAATGAACAAATTACATTCATTGCAYGCACAAATTAACTTACAAAATACAACAGCCAGTCTTGATATTGTTGCTGTTTTAAAACTTAGGTGCATAATCTCAAAGGAAAACACATTGACCTTTATTTTTTTAATATCAAAAATACAAGTTTGGGACTAAATTTCACTTCAGAAACACCTGAAGGTAATTTTGCAAAATAGCCCTGATAATTGCTGTGAAGGATTTAAAGGGCACATACCAATTAACCCACCCACAAATCTGGCTAAGTCCTTTTGCAAAGATTTGAAAATTTGCCCAGTTACTGGTCTGGTCTATGGAGAAATTATTTTTTTCAGATTACCTAAAATTCTCTTTTAGTTAGAGCTGTGCTATGATTATTGTTATGTTCAGTGCCACTCAAACCTCATTCTAAGAAACACGATTACAGCCTTTAGATAACGCAGGATTTACACTTGTAATTTTTAATGGATTGTTATAATGGGCAATTGGTCTAGAAAAGGAAACTCAGTGAAAACTTTAAATTACTCTTCCTACAGAAAAGCCTAAGGGTTTAAGTCCAGCCCTGACTGTGGGGCAGGCTCCTGCCTGGAAGGAAGCTGTGTCCAAAGCCAGTTGGATGGTGCAGCAGTTTGCAGGATACCTCCTGCTTGCGCACACATCCTGACTGCAAAACAATCCCTTTCTGCACAAAGCAATTGGTAAACAGAGATTCAAACTAGGCTGCAATGAGGACAGAGCCAGATTTGCAATTTTTGTTGTAAATTACCCCTTTCAGGATTTGTTTGTCATTATATGGATTGCAATGTCATTACTGGATGATTTTTCTAGACTGCAAATGGGTATCAGGCATTGCACTGTGTTTTCCCTTTCTTCAGCACAGTATTGTCTGCTAAAGAATACACTCATTTTTTAGACATATTTTTCCTCTTCAATGATGTTACTGCAAACTGACTCTCTTTGAAAGTACACAGGACGGAGAACAACAGAAAACATTAGTGTATTACGAAAGATACAGCCTCTTTTTCTGGGTCTCAAAGCAGTGGGAGAAGGATACAAGGCAGGGCACAGCTACGTAGGTGATGCTACCTTGAGGCCGAGAACCTTTTCAAAAACATCTGGAAAGAGCTGCCCTGGGGGAACTCGGAAAAGGGATGTGATAGGATAGGTAAGGCTTTCCAATCAGAAATTTAGGTAGGTAAGGACTGCCACTCAAAGCTAGTTCAATAGTCCACCTTTCTGGGTCCTCYCTTTCATCCTGACAAGCCACTAGTTTATTATTTACTGAACAGTGACTGCAGAAGTCCTTGAAGGTTATTTCACTACCATAGTTAGTCTAAACAAATGCAGCTTTTCTTATCTCCTTAACCCTCACTCTGGACTTGGTTTAAGTAAAATCTGTTGTGTAGCAGCCTGATAGAAGATAACCTTCTTGCCAGCCTCAGTACGCTTTATCTGAGAGACCTTTCAAAAATCTCCAACTTGCTGTGATTTGGCACAACAGGTCAGTTAACTGCCAGTGGCATTAAATTCTGAACCTACAGGAGACATTCAGATAAAATTAATCTGCATTCAAACCAAGGAGGAAGTTTTGCGGAAATGGAGAGCTCTGTTGCTTAATGCCGCTCGGGAACATTCAGTCCTGCCCTTATTCTGCCTCCTGGTCCTGAACTAGACGTGGGAGGATCAAACCACAATAACGTGCAACCGCCCGGGACTGGGACAGCCCGGTTCTAGGTCAGCAGCTGCTACAACGCCTGTTCCTTGCTCAACGCAGCAACAATTTAGAATTYCCAAGTTAATTTGCTGACAGTCAGGTGGCAACTTCCAACTACTCCTTCCCTGCCGCGACTGCCTGCTTTGGAGGCAGCAAAGCTCCCGGGAATCCTGCTGCTCATCCCGCTGCACAGGGCTCTGTCACAGGGCTCAGCAGACCCGGTTTGTTCAGCCTCAGCACCAGGCAGCACCAGTCTGAGTGATGCATCCCTGATTCAAGCAATGCACAAAGCTCTGTACTAATGTTTCCCTTGTTTCATGGTCTGGGATTGTCAAAAACTTTCTTTCAGTGTATATCAGCAGATAACTACATCCTCCTTATTGCCCACGATTCCTTTTGTAAATGCTCCATTTAAGGGGAAAGAGAAGAAAGCATCTGTCCATCTCGTGAAGGCACAGGGAGACCTGAGGAGACTTCTGTGCTCCTGCGCGTGGATCTGCACAGCTCCCCTGCACAGCCTGAATGTGTCATTTCTACAGATGCAAAGAATAAGCCTGTGAGCACAAAACACTCATGGTTTATCATGGTAAATGGCGGAAGCTACTTATTAAATCAAAATTGAAAAGCAGAATACAGCCAGCAGTCTTCAACGCAAGTAGTCCAGGTGGCGGTCAGAAAAGAAAGCCAAGCCACACAGCTCTTTAGCCAGACGACAGCACACTGGATTGTAATTTTCTTAGTGAGAAACACTTCTGGGAAAAACACAGCTGATGTCTAAGAAAACAAAATCCGCAGTCTAATTGCACTTTTTTCCCTCTTTTTGTTACCATGCCAATTATTAAATTAAACATTGTCCACAGCAAGACAGCACAGCCAAAATTTACAATGGGTCATTAAGCAAAACAGTTGTTTGGGGAACATACTTAAATGGATTTTTTTTCTGCCAGCTAGGAAGAGTACAGCATTTTGCAATGAAACTTTTCTTTGGACAAAGAAAATACATATATACACACAAATATACACACACAGACATTACATAAATATATAGATAGAAAGATATATAAAAACAACAAAAACCACAAGCTTCAGGCCTTTAATTGTTATCAGATTGGCTTACTCCTAGGCATTAACCTCACTTCATTGATCTGTTCCAGAGCTGCTTTTAGACCTTTTCTAGGTTTTCATTCTACTTGTCTGGGTTAGCATGTGGCACAGAACGATGATATAAATAAAACCGTTCCCAAGCCATTATGTTGARCGTGACAAAGTCATAGAATCATAGAATGCTGAAGGTTGGAAGGGACCTCAGAGGTCATCGAGTCCAACCCCCTTACTCACGCAGGGTCACCTAGAGCACGTGGCACAGGGCTGCATCCAAGCGGGTTTTAAAGATCTCCAAAGAAGGAGACTCCACAACCTCTCTGGGCAGCCTGTTCCAGTGCTTTGTCACCCTCACAGTGAAGAAAGTGGTTCAAATGCTGAAAACTAACTTATATCAACTATTTTTTGAGAAATACACAAAAGGTACTGTTACTTATTGAGGTGATACAGAAAAGATTTTTTTGCTGTTTTTGGAAAGATCCAGTAGATAAACCAGAATAGGTTGTACTTAAGTGTTCCAGGTAAGGGGATTAGTGCAAACAATACTGGCAAAGTGTAAAGAAAACTAGTTTTTCATTTTGGTTCATTGAAGCTGTGGATTTCAGAGCAAGCATAATTTAAATGCAGTTGCTATAAACCATCAAATAATTTATTTCCAAGCCAATATGTGTTACTGCCTGGTCTGCTTTTGCACAAAATGCAGATTAAAGAACATTACCTCTTTGAGGCACAGAATGCTGCCAGGAATATTTAAAGCCAGGATGAAACTTGCTGGTAATGAAGACAACCAGCAACAGAGAAGGGAAGTGAGGAATTACCTTTGCCACATGTAACACTGCAGGCTGTCCAGTCTCCGTACTGCCAAAAATACTCAGGCTCTCCAATCTCATTCTCATGGCTTTCCTCTTTACGCACAGTGTATTCATACATGATCCCAGGGTTAGTCTCTTGAAAAAGCAGCTGGGAAAAAAAAAACATGGTTTATTTAATTACTTATGATTACAATTTACTGACCCAAAGCTCTTCAAGTGTGAAAGCAGGAGAATTAGCAATCTCTAACRCAGCTCTCCCATTTTGCAGCCTCTTGCCAGTTAAAAAAATGAAGACTGGCAAGCATTTAATTTGCGCGTTGGCAGGGCTGCATATGCCCCTCTCTAAGACACGGTTGTTTGCCACGCACTTCTGCGAGCGCAGCTGGGAGGAACTGGGTCAGCATAATTGGTATCCTATTGACGGCAAGAAAAGATCATGCAAAGTCCATCCAAGACTGCCTGAAGTGCCCTTGATCAAGGGCTAATGCCTAGCCTCATTATAAATGGTAATTTCCCTCCCTATCTGAAATAGCTCTTACAAAACATCCAGGAGGTCAGTAAATAACAGGCTTTATTCAGATATGCTTCAGGATTTTTTTTTTTTTTTTTTTGGCGTTTCTGTCATTCAGAAGGAAAATTCTAATTGTTAAAAGCAACAAGAAGTTTGCCATTGGCTGACTGAGAGGGGAGGAAARGAGAACATCTTCCAGAGACAAAACACTGAAGCAACAAACTATTACTCTTCCTTCTGATCATCTCCTTGACTCGGATCCTGACAGCAAAGTTGTCATAGGGGCATCTTCTCCTCAGACATTTTCTCCCCAGACATTTAAGGTGTGAAAATGGTTTCTCTCACACCTTTAACGTTGACTGCAAGTGTTCAACTGCATCACAGGAATGATATATTTAGGGGGAAAAAAGGGTATTTTAAAAACAGTTTCAAMGAATTTACAGAACCTGGTTACATTTCAAGTTGAATTGACGGAGCAACATGAAAAAAGAAACAGAGCAACGTTAATCAGTGGATGCTAAGCAGACCAGTTCCACTTACTCTATGCTACTTGCTGTTTCATGCTCAGCATAAGCCAACACTGCTGTCACCCTTCCCAAGCTGCCACCGCTGCTTAATATCAGCTCTTTTTGTGTGATGAAGGGTTACTTTTCATCTGAATGTGACGTGTATCACAGCCCCATGTGCTAATTCACAGTGGCACAAGAGGCAGAGAAGCTCGGGCAAAAGACTGACCAACCAGCGGCATAAAAATCACTATTCCATTGGAAGCAGTGCTGCAGTATATTAATTTTTAATAATTATTTAATTTTGACTTATAAATATTCTATTTTAAAAATAAAAATATGTAAAATATAAAATTTATAAATTTATAAYTTATTTTAATAATTATATTCAATAATTGTGAAACCATAACACCTTACAGATATCGCCCTATCAAACAAGGAGTATCTTTCTCTAYACTATATTTCAACTCATTTTTGAGAGATTAGCGTGACTTATACTAAAGTATACATTTTTCCAGCCTCATTTTTAATAACCCTTTGTGTTCTGCTGCCATCTAAACTTAGCAAGCTCTGCTCAAGGTCTCCTGTTTACCTGTATCCACACTGATTCGTTGGTGGGTCCCACAGCAGTCAGGTTTTCCAGATCGCCTGCTCTGTCATACTGAAATATCGTTCCTGCCACTTTGTATTCGCCGTTCCACTGGATGATGAAGCCTCCATTCAGGTAGTATTTCTCTGGGTCTTCACCTCGCACAGCGAGGAAGTTTCCAGCCTCTGCCACTTCTGTGACTTTGATGCCCCTTGCACCTTTTGGAATTAGCCCAATATCAACGTATCCTAAGAGGCAATACAAGTTCATGGAAACAAGTAACAAAAAAGTCATTGCACATTAGTTATTTGTCCCTTCTCTTAAGTCATTTAACTCACTGCCTGTTTTCCATCTTTAGACTTGCTACTGCAAACTACAAGCCATTCAAATGCCTCATATTACTAAGAATAGTTGAACAGATAATATAAATTACTGACTTTCATAAGGAAGTTAAATAGCTGTCATGTAYAAAGTTACCTATAAAAGGAGATGAGATTATTGGTATGTGTTTTAAGAATGAAACCAGAACATTTATCAGTTTTGTTTGTGCAATGGGCAAAGTGACATGAAACTCTGTACTTCTCATCTCACAGGGAACTGTTACTGCTAGTGAATGAAAACTGCAAAATAGAAACTTCACATACAAATTTTACCAGAAAATAAAACASCTTTCTTGCTATTGCTCCTGAATGGGCTTTAAAAGTTGGATGGGTGACAGGTTTCCAAGCAGAAGCCCTGGGGTGGAAGCTGAAACTCATACTGGTTTATTTTAAGACTTGCTACTGGATGAATAGTGCCTCAGTTCTTACTCTACATTGCTGAGGGTAGGAATTAAATTCTGGGACTTGAATCCTGTTCACTTTCTTTGTGTAAATCAGCTTGTCACCTTTGACTACACACTCCCATGATGGAGACAAGTTGCACTGACCATATTAGATGTCAGTATCTAAAGGATCTGTCTACTTGGGCTCCTTGTAATTAAATTTCATATATTTTTCCTGTGAAAATGTTCAACAGAGAGAGTTTTCTGGTTGCCATTTTTTTGCAAGCTTCCAAGACTGACTGTGGAGATTCAAAATATTATGCCTTTCATAACTAAAGGGTCCAATTAAATTCTGCAAGATTACTGAATAAGAAAATAGAGACAAAGCCTACCGTTTCTCCCAAATACTCTCTACTTTCAGGCAGTGGGAATGTATTAAGCACAATGTGTGATAATGTAACTAAAGGCTTGATTAGAAGGCATGCTCACAAGTGTGTCAAATCAAGACAGCATAGAAAATTTCAATTATGTCACATCCTGAGAGCTTGGCTTTGCAACCCTGATACCCTTTCCCAATATCTTTTTGGATGTAATTAGAATAACATTTGTTCAAAACAAGTGTAACAACAATACATTTTTTTTCCTGCTAGAACATGAAAGTCTGTGTCCCTTCACRTTTTTTTTCAATTATTTTTGTCTGAGTCATTTGCTGTTGCTCATAAACCTTATTTTAAATGTATTTTAAATGTCTGCTGATAGATTTTTTCACGTGATGAGTATTGCATTCCCTTTTTTTTCCATTAACTAAATTATTTCCCATTTTCCCATAATCTCATACTAATTTCTATATGCTCCAAATCACTGCTGAGAAGGCAACGTGAAGAATAAACACACGCAACCCATGTTGTAGTAACAGCGCTGTTGCAGTTGAAGGGCTTGTTTCTCTTCTGCCACCACCATGAGACAGGAGTAATTCCACAGAGGAGGGTAGTACCCATCAGTCAATAATGAGACCCAGCTATTCCTCCTTATCACATCAGTTCCCATCCCGCTCTCCAGTCTATCACATCTGTGAGCTCCTACATCTTACATGAAATGCAGCTTCTCTGCAGCTTGATTCCTCCCTGTATTTTGTGTGTCCTTACCAGCAGGCTCTGGGCACTACTGCAAGAATATTGTGTAGGGAAGAGCATGGGCTCCCAGCAGGGTGCTGGGTTTGCAGGTCAAGGCATGGTTGGATTCACCCTTTCCATGAAACAGAGGGAGCACTGCAGCTGTGATGGTAAAGGGAAAAAAGTACAGCCCAGAGACAGTCTCTAAGGCACCCAGGAGAACTTCCAGACTCTTGGATCTATGTTTGTATCATAGTCTTGTCCAGGCTCCATTTCAGGGCTAATCTCAGGCACTTAAGAGATCTCTGCCTGATCTTGGGTTTATGCAAAAAGTAAAAGACRGGCAAAAGAGCGTCATGGCATGGTTTGATTCAGTCCTGATGAGGAGCCACGGTCCCAGCATAAACCTTCAGGTTGGGCCAAGCACAAACATGGTTCCTCACTTCTCCATCCCTTTGCTAAAATTCAATTTGATAGGAGTTATGTGTGCCTAATTTTACCTTCTGCAGTACTACATCTGCRCCTCTATGTACAACATATCCTTATTTTCAGAAATAATCTAAAGTCAAAAAGACTTCCCTTCACAGAATGCCCCATTCCCCTTTCTTGCTATCCACTTCCTCCACATCTGCCACAGYGTCCCTTCTGTTGTCCCTTCTGCCTCAGTCCTCCTACCCCAGCGCTCCTCCTCACGCAGCAGGGCAGGTCCCTCTCCTTCTCGAGCTCTCCTTTCCCTGAAATCAGGGATTTCCCCCTCTTTCATGTATTCTACMTTAAATAAAAGCAGATCCTTAATTGCAGAAGTGACTTCTTTGCCCASGCCTAGAACTTCTCCGTCTTGCCCATGCTACAATCTTAGTGGCCATAAGCAACTGAAGTGACTTAAATGATTTTCAAACAAAGCTCCAAGTGTGAATCAAGTACTCGCTAGCATTAGTGTCAATACTGGAGACCATCTGTGCAAATTTGATTTGATTTCCACCATAAAACACTGATGGAATCCACTACCCAGATGAAATACTCCTGCACCTCTGCTGGATGCCTCTGGACCACTATTCCTATGCTGCATCCAAAGGAAAGGTAAAGCATTTTAAACAGAAATTCTAGTAACCCCAAAGGTTCTAAAGTTGCTTTTTTGTTGTTTTTGGTTTATGGTTTTTTTTTTTTTTTTTTTTTTTTTTTTGAAAATGAGCAGGTAAAACCTTAGGTAAAAATGTTTTCTCTGCCCTGCTATGAAAGACTGAATTATTACAACTCTTTACTAATATTTTATTAGTCTGATCTGATCACTAGTTGATTTGAGGACTTGCAGACTCTGCCATAAATTTGTATTGTAAGAGAKAACTTCACATGCTTGTCAGTCAGAAATAAAAAGAGAGTCAGATAGTTTGAACAAAAATTAATTCCCATTTCCACTTTACCGCCTGTGAAGCACCAGGGCAAACCACACATCATCTTAAAAGCTCAGTGGCTCACAGGCTCCTGCTTTTCCTGATACTTTTCCTTGTTTTTTTTCCATTATGGAGTCAATTTCTGCAAAAGAGAAAGAGCCTGCAGAAGAGATTCACTCTATTGAATCCAAATGCAGTGATGAAATAATTTTACTTAGCACACAAAATCCCTCAGTGGTTTCTCTCAGTGAGACGTATTGAATCCTGAGGTAAGAAAAACAAATTGAAGATATAATACTGTATGAATTTAAATAAAATACAAGAAATGTCATTTTATTCTGCCACGTGTATGGCTGCTTCAGTTAGCCAGGACCCTTTGAGAAATAACGTTCTTTGAAAAGAACCTTCAGATCATTTTCATCCTTGGAAAACTCAAACACAGAGGCAGGGTGAGTTTTAGGCTGCCTCTTCCATCTCCAAAAGCATCATCACGCTCGTTCTCAACCAGTTTCAATTTCCCCTTCTCTGGTCCAGACTCTTCACCTGGATACACCCCACAYTGGGCATCCTGCAGCCTAAGGGGTTGCTGCCATGGGCAAAGAAAGACTCAGTTCTCTCCGTGCAGATTCAAACCACGTTAACCCTTCAGGGAGCTACTTTTCTCACCTTTGACACCTGAGACATTCTAGAGAAACTTATACAACCATCAGGCATGGGAAGTGACTGCAGTTGCCAACTAATATTTTGGTTTTCCTCTAGCATTCGAAACACTGTCAATATCTGATCAGACATCACTGTAGCTGTTCAAATCAGACAAATCAGACACTTTGAAATCAATCCCCAGACCAGACACTTGCAGCATTTCCTTGATGCTTTTGCATCACCTAGATTAGGTCTTTTTTTTTTTTTTTTTTGGTAGCTAATCACATTCATTTTGTAAATGCTATTTAGGGTTTTATTATTATCTGCATAGCTTGCGCAGAGACCTGCTGGTCTCTAACAGCATTAGACAACTTGAACTAATCTTTTTCTGGCTCAATCATGATTCACGGCGAAGCATCATCCATTTGCCATTTGCCATGCAGATTGATAGTTTGCACAGTCACTCAGTTTGCAATACGAGGAGCTACTCGAGTCTTTTTTCGGGAAATGATTTCAACAACAGAAGATTGTTTATAAAAAGAACTCTTTACCAAATCCTTCACTTTGATTAAACATCATCTTCACTGTATGACAAGCAGAGCCATCTCCCAGGCAAACTCCACACTGGTCTTCCGTTGCGTTGGAATTTATCTCATAGTCACAGCCCACAGTCTAGAAGGAAAAACAGTTTCAGAATAAGCACAGTCTCAATAATGACACACTCAAAACGCTTTTCTCCCTGCCTCCAGTATACTCTGCCCTTCCAAGAAGGGGAAGAATCAATTTCCTGGAATAGTGCATGTTCTATATATGGAAACAGTAGAAGTTGTCATATCTAGCTCAATTCACATGTATTGTATGAGAGTTTAAAAAAATACAAAAACAAAACAAAACACCACACACACCGTATCATGAAACTTGCAGAAGTGACCAGATACTGTTACCCAAGATGAAAACGTACACTACAAGCAGCATATAAGATTTTTTCCCTACCCCCCCTCCCCCCCCCCTTTTTGTTTTTCTTTTTTTGGTGATGGAAAAGCAGCGATGTCCTTCCAGGAATTCAGTCCAACCCCAAAACAAAACCATCTGACATATTTTGAAGTTTATATCCATTTATTTGGATTCGGACAACCCTACCTGTCAAGCCTACTTAGTTACAACATGCTCTAGACAGACAAGCAGGGGTATAAAATGGCAGAGTCAGTGCTAAGCCAAACATGAACCAGAATTTGGTTTCTACCAGTGAAGAAAGTTTAAAAAAAGAAAGCTCTCCTTGTCTAAGGCCACTGCTGGTGAGGAGCACAGGTTCAGAGCTCGCTGCAGTATCTCTGTCTTGATGCAATCAGAGCTAAGCTGCAGGCAGAGAACTATTCCCCAAACTCCCCTGAAGGCATTGTGATAATAATACTATAAAAATATGCCAAAGAAAGAATTCTAAAAATACATTCAGCTCATCTGAAGTGATTTWAAAAGCTGTATTTGAAAACTCAGAAAAACAACTTAGCAAAGCAACTTCCAAAACAAAACTGAAAGTGTACTGTACTGTTCAACTTTGCACTTCTATTTAACTGCTTTAGAAACAGAGGGAGTGTTGCCTCCTAACCTGCATAACGGTGCACTTGAGCTCCTTGATCTCATGAAGTTGTTTAAATGATTGCTGTGTTTTAACTACTGTTATCACAATCAAATATTAATGAAGTTTAAAATATATTAACAGTGGTTTGTATCAGACCCCACCACCCTTACAGGGAAGCTGCCTGGGGCTCTCCAGCTAATTGAATCTCCAGTTAATACCATTTTTGCTATGTGTTAGCTTCATCCATAGCACATCTTCATGCACTTAACGAATAGAGGACAACATAGTCGTTCAAGGAGTGTGCTTCTAAGTCACCATGATTATTCTAAAACTCATTTTTCCACACTTCTCTTCACACAGGGAAAAAAAAAAAGGATATATCGATTTTTTTTTCTTTCTGTTTGAARGATATGAAGCCAGGACTATAAGAATATCTAAGACGATTCTCTGCTTTTTTTTTCTTCTTCAAATTGAACTTTTTGGTGCAATACCTGCTAAATCCTAAAACCTTCCTGAAGTATGAGACTCCAGGTATCCCCTCTTTTGATTCTGATCTCACATTACTTTCAGCACAGCAGCTACCACAATGACTGTAATCTTCCGACAGGAAAATATATCCATTAGACTAATCTGGGCAAAACATCCTTCATATTCCAATACTTTTTTTCTGATCTTTCAAGTGCAAGAAACCCCSGACCTTTTCCTCTGGGTACCAGTGATAAAGACTAGCTCGAGAAGATGCTAAAAAAAGGGAAGGCCCCAAGTTAATAATTGCGTGAAACCATGTCACATTTTGCAGTTTATTCCAAAGAGACTCGTGTATCACTTAATGCCAACACTCAATCAACATCTTTGATACCTGCTGTGGAATACAAAAAAAAATGTGCCAAAAAGCCCTGCAGCATTCTCGGTTTCTTTCTTTCTCTACAGAAAGACACTTYTAAAAAAGGAAAAACATTTTTCTCACTGCTATTGCAATGTCTTTCACAGAGGCATACCTTGGTACCAAAGTACTAGGTTTATGAGCGGTACAGAATGTTACAGAGATAAGCTCATGCTAAGCAGTCTCATGACTACGTTTTTGCCTCCAAGCATGGAGCTGTTCTATTAAGGATGGATTTAATGAAGGTACCTGAATACCACTGTGATAAGAAAAGGATGATCCCTTATATTGAGGGGAGTTCAGATTTTACTCTTCACCTGTTAGTCAAGGGTGCACTGCAGTTCATACTTGCACTGCCCGAGAATGGAACTAGGTTGGCAAATAGTCATTTTCTTAAAAAACACTTTTTTTTTTTTTTGCACTACATTTACTATCAGCACATTTGTTAATTGTCTATAAAGTTAGCAAAGCCAGTGTTATCAGGCTTTGCATTAGAGCTGTACAAGAATCAGGCTCCTGGTGTTTTGGGAGTCCTGCATGGACTGAATATGACTCCAGTCGTGGAGTCCTGAACATTTTCTCTTCTACAGGGAGGTCACTTGGTGTCTCCACATGGGCTACACTGTGCATTAGCTCACTCAGAGACACCTGACAACTTTCTCACATGCTTCTGTATTTGCCTTGACAACATCCCAATGTCACCAAAACATGGTACCACTGTGACATGAAAGAAATCCCTCTGTCCTATACAGTTACAGCCACAGAAACTCCTATTTTGGGCTTCCTCCAGCTTGAAACACTGTCAATACCTGATCAGACATCACCACTCTTRTCTATATGTACATCAGGGTTGGTGCCAGGGTCCCGTTGATTGAGGCCACCCAACACCACAGAGCAATAATTTCCTGTATTGCAGTAAGCCAGCCTTCCTTGTACCCCCTATGGCACTGACACAATGGCATTTGTATTGGCAACAGGTCATCATGTTACAAGGCCATTAATGACCACCACAAACTGAGACATATTTCAAAGATTCGGAGTAAACAGCTCCAGCAGTCATTCATTATAAATATACATGAACTTTAATTTTCAGGCCTTGCTCTACTTCACCGCTCCAGTGAATATCACATCATTTCTGTCATTCATCAGATTTATTTCCAGCTCCTCCTCCTCCCTTAGCTGCTTTCCTCATACTTCAACTGCAGATACGAAGCAGCAATGTTTCCTACAACTGCTTTTAATAACGTGTCTAGCAGTTCTGGTAAGTTGCACGTGGAAGTGGACCTGGAGACAAGGGGCAGGTGTTAATAGAAGACAAAACCAGCAGCAACTAGGTGTGCATTAGAATCAGACCCCAGGTCCTCGTCCACCCTCCAGCCGGGAAGCAGGCTGTTTCAGTGGTTATAAATCAGCATCACCCCATGCAGCCTTAGTCACCGCCCTGTTCACCAGGGGCCTTTTTGACACACCTGAGACTAGTTTTTCTTATCAGTCCCATCACATGGCAGACATCAACTGCCCAACTGCCTCTGTGCAGAAAGGAGAAGCAATTTATTTCCTACTGTTTGGTGACTAGAAGGAAACTGTCTTGTTGCCACTTCCAGAAAGAGACTTTTGAGTCAGAATGGCTGCTGGACAGCAGATACAGAGTCCTGCTGTCACTGGAGGGCATTACTGGGATGCACTGTTTGAATATCCAAATTTCAGGAATGACATATTATGATTTTAAGTTCTTCCTCCCACGTCCAACTGGTTTCCAAATGAAGAAATGATGATCCTGTCATGTTTGGCTATAACACTCCTTGAATGGGGAGACGTGTCCTGATGTGACATATCCTGATGTGATATTTCTCTTATCACTTATGCAGAAAGGGCTGAAGCAATGCCCTGCTGCGAGAGCAGCGGCAGGAGGAGATTCATGTAGCAGTAAGAGATACCACCAGTGCTATTACAATGAGATGTATAGTTTACTTTTTAGCAAGAGAATAAAAGCTCACTTTCCTCCCTCCTCTCACACAGCAGTGCCACTTCCAATAGAAAGTTAATCATCTCTTAGTGACAATTGTGAATTATCACTGAGAACAGCTCATGGCTTTGCATGACTGAAGGATATTTGAACCCTCCAACTCTGTATGAGGAGCTGGAGGCCTGTTACAGACAGGGCAGATCCAGGTCCATGGCTCCCAGTGCCTGCACCACACGAGTTTTCACTTTTAGAGATTGCTGTAGTTCATATTTAACCAAATCCCTCAACCTTGAAAACTCATACTTGCATTGCAGCTCCAGGCACACACCACCGTMGCAAGATCCTTGCTTATCACCACTGTGGGAACAACCAAAGGTCCCAGTAAGAATCAGACTGATATATAACTTGAAGCATGGCAAGAGAAATTYTATGTTTTAAAAATATTATAAACAAAAGAAAAAGTGACACCCAAAAGATAAGTGCAGGGGAACACGGTTAAAMAGCAAACTAGCTAAGACATCTCAAGTCAGTTAAACTGATTAAAGTCAGTTAAATTTAGAGGAACAAATTCTTAACCGMATCTGGGTCTACATGTTTTGTACAGGGTCCACATAGAAATCTTCCTTGTCAAATTGCTACTCTACAAGCCAAACATATCCAAGCAACATGGACAGTGGGCCTAACATATAGCACATTACCATTTTTTACTCAATTGCTGGCTAAAATGAAATATTATTTTAGAGCTAAGAACAAAGACGAAGTGCTTTTGTGAGATAGAGGTCTGAAAATCTGAACAGRGCTTTATTAGTCACTGCCACTAACTTTTACAATCTCCTTTTTCATGTTGTTAGTGTATGYTGCTGTTAAAAGTACAAGAATGATGCATCAGACTAATTACATTGAATGCATTTCCAAGTTTGTGACCCAGATCGTATGTATTGTGCTTACCCAGTTGGACAAAAATACTAGTGAGTTACACCAAGAGAGACAAAGCTTCCACTAAAGTGTTGTGCTGTGTACGTATTTCAGATAAAAGCATGGTGTCTTTCAGAAATGTCAGCTATTTGGGTTACCTATTCATGACTTGATCTAGTTTGTGGCAGTTGCATGGTTACGTTGTTCACTCCACGATTCTGATTCCTATTAAATCTGTTCCTAAGACAGTTTGAAGCAGTATTCCACATGGCAAACTGATGAYAAAACTGCATTTATGACAGCACCTGTACTTTGGAAGAATGTTTCTAATAAAGTTTTGAGACTTCCCTGTTCCCTAGAGCAATTTCTGATACAGTATATCTAATATATAGAAGCTGCAGTAAAGTTGTATTTGTTTTCTGTTCTGATCTATCAGTTCAGAGAAACTAAGTTTTTCTCCTTCTGAAACAGATATAAATTAGAATTCCCACAAACAGGGCTAAACACATAAAACAGGAAGCTTAGTCATAGTCATCCAAATCCATATAGGTAGGAAATTAAAAGATAAAGCTTCATGATCAGAACCTTTGAGATCAGCACTTGGATGATCTTCCTTGGATGAGGGCAAAAGCCGTATTACAATATATAACATTTAATTAACACTACAATACGCTAGATATTTGTTTCCAGCTAACTCAAACTGCAGATTTTACGCAACTCTTTCCCCATAACAAATAAAATATTCATCCTAGCTCTCAGCAAAATCAGGTGCAAACTCTCCACTATGAACTCAAACAGGACCTCCTTAACACTGTATTAAAAACGCATGTTGTGCAAGCAAAACTTAAATCTTTACTGCTGCTCAGGCACTGGCATTCTAGCAGGAGAGAGAGCTGCAAGGATGGCATTCCTAGCCTAGGAAAACTGCAGGGCTTCCATCACTAGAAGTCTTCAAGTAAAATATCTATGAAGAATGAGAAAAGTGTACACGATTCTGTAAAGAAATTAAATGGTTGATCCGAAGTCCCTGTTGGATACATTTTTTCTTTGACTCTTTGGCTTACGGCATAGAATTACCAAGCTCCCTACTGCAAATTAGTATAGTTTCTATAAAACTCTGAGTCCTGCCAAAAAGCTTCAAGCATTCCCGTTCTCATAAAAACATGATGTACTTGTAACTACATTCTCTACAAGTAAAATGTACATTTTATTTATTTGGATTTCTATAGGCAACACTCTGACTGTGAACATTACAGTKACCTATAGAACACACCTTCAAATTACACAATCCAGTACATTTAACTGGCTATTAACGTTCAGAAAACCTCGTATTTATCAGTCAACAAAACATTATTGAAACATAAACCTTGTGATTGCCAGGTTTCCTCATTGCATAGCGTTATTCAATTTACTGGGGTAAATGGAAAGAATTTTGCCTTCAAGTGCATGTGCCTGACCATAAGAACACAAGCTCCAGTTCRGAACTGCTACATAACGTGTAAAACCCTATAGTGGTGGCACCCAAAGACAATCTTGGGTCAAAACATCATCAGAAACAATTAATTTTCTTAAACTGATGTTTTAATGCAAAGGAAGAATAAAAGAGGTAGCCTGAAAGTACCAGAAGTAATCAGCACTCAGACTGATGGTGTCATTAAAAAGAAGGCAGAGGGCTCTTCTTCTGTAAGGGCCACATCTGAGACTTTGTCCTGCAATTATTTAAAATACCATAAAAACGAGTCAGGAGTGCCTTTCACTGGACCTCCCCCCCAAATAAATGTGTTAAATATTTCTGCATAAATCTGTAAAGCAAATTGTAGAGAAAGAAACATGCAAACATACCCAATACCTTACACATGCCATTAATACAGATATCTCGGCTGTGTCTTCCTTCAAAGCAAGGAGTACCGTCGGTGACGGCATCAAGCATCTTCTCTGAAAAATGACCATCTACTGGGCGACAGTGGAGCTCGCAGGGGTTAGCTGAAGGGCAAAACAGACACAGAAATTACCTTCTCAGAAAATTTCTCAGCAGGGTCRTTGAGCTGTAACATACTGGGAATATACCTTTGCTGACCACCTGCTTACTTTCCCTGGCGTTTTCTGTCAGAAATGGCCTAATTAGAAGCAGGTAACAAAGCTAATTCTGCTAACAGAAGAGCACAGGCTTTAGAAATGTCACCAGAGTGTTTCTAGGAAGCAGCTGGTGTTTGGCACCCTTTGCTTTCCACCACAAGTATGGGACCATCCAGCTGGGTGGGCCATAACCTTCTGCAGTCCATTGGGATGGTGGAGGGGATGGGAAAGCAGCAAAAACAGCTGCCCTCCATGGGGGGAAAGGAGGAGTTTGGGGATGAGGTTGCTGAGGACACTGATAAGCACATGTCAGCTGTGACTGAGTGGGTCTGGAGATAATTTAGAGCTCCTGATCAGCGCCGGCAGCCTCTCGTGGGGAGCGGTGAAGCAGTTGCTTCTCATCTTTCGTATGTCACTAGAGAATCACAGAATTGCTAATTTGCAGCTGCTTGATGGCACTTAATAAGTTATTTTGAACACTTCAAGCATGGCGATTTGTTTTTTTTCTGCTTGGCAATTTATGAAACAGGAGACAATATTAGTGGGTCTGAGTGATAATAATGTGCACGAAAGCACTGGGGAAGGCAGGAGTGCAGCAAAGCACCTGTGAGAACAGCAAGGCTCTCTGCAATGGCGCACTCTTGGTCTAGCCCTCATATGGATAGTAAAGAGCAAAACACAAGGCTGCCATGTCCCACAGGTGCTGGCCCTTGGCAGCAAAAAGCTTAGAAATTCAGACTTAGGAGCCTCAAAGGGCCCAAGTTGGAAAAACAAGTTGTATAATTTGAAGGCAACATCAGAACGACAACCAGGGTGAAAGCAAAAGGACATACTCTGTGCCCTCATGCCATTCCTCTAGAAACCCTCCAGCAAAGCCAGAGCTATCTAATTGAAAGAAAATGCAGCCAATGCCACAATCACTGCCAASAGCTGCGGAGCTGTCTCATCTTTCTCATTTCTTCCAAGATACCAGTTTAGCCAGCTGCGAAAGCAATTCATTCATGCTCAGCCAGATGAAATGCTTTGCTGAAGCAAGGCTTAAATCTGCTCCAGATGCAACCATAAGAGGCCAGCCAGGAGGACTTCAAGGCACCCTCATTAAGTCATTTTAAACTAAATCTTGCAGTGTGCTGCAGAAGCACCTCTGCTGGGTGATACTTTCATCCTGCACTTGACTGAAGCAACAAATGCCCTTCCGTTGGTTTCAGGGGGATGGAGGATTGAGGATTAAAGCAGTGGAACAGGCTGCCCAGGAAGGTTGTGGAGTCTCCTTCTCTGGAGATCTTCAAAACCCACCTGGATGCCACCCTGTGCTCTGGGTGTCCCTGCTGGAGCAGGGGGGTTGGACTAGATGATCTCTAGAGGTCCCCTCCAAACTCAAACATTCTGTGGTGCAAAATACACCACGCAAGATTTATATCTTCCATGTCCTGGTTAATGATTTTCTCTCCCCTATTCTTCCCTTTTCTCCTTCATTTCTCTTTCTTGCATTAAGATAGGATTTATTTTATTTGCATTAACATAAAAGGGCTTCTGACTTTAAAGGGGGAAATTCAGTTTCGTTGCTTTGATTTGTAAATCATCAACAGTGATACAGCACCATACAGCACACTGAAGTTGCAGCTTGCAGCTCAAAGACTGAATCCTACTTAAAATCTAAGCCTTAAAATCAATGAGCTCATTCACAAAAACATTATTTTTACAGGGCTGGAACATAAAAGAACATTAAAAAAGGGACACAGCAGGAAACCTTACAGAGAGGTAAGTTGCACTTTTGCTCTTGCAAGCAGAGGTAAGGATAAARTGAAAATAATGAAGCACTTGTAGCTTCTCAAAGAAGACAGAGAAATGCTGTCCTAGGGCAGCAGAAAGGTTGGAGGCTGAGGACCAAGGTTATGAAACTAGAGGAATTCAAAGTCACGCGAGTGATTCAAGAGCAGTGACAAAGATGGAGTTACAAAAACCTTCGGAGCAAGAACCTTATTGGTACTCAAATGCTCTGAGGACTGCCAGCCATAACATCCATTAGCTGCTTTGATAAGAACTGTCATGATTAGCGATAAAATTAATTTCCCTTTTATCTGCAGAAATCTTTTCTGGCCAAGTGGCTAAATTTCATGACTTCAGTGCTAGTTGGCTTACCCTCTCACTGTGCTCTTCTCCAACATGAAGCAAATGGAAAGGAGAAGACAGATGTGCTACAAGCCTGTTTCCTGCTCTAAACTGATGCTGTCCAACACACACTTTGCTCAAACCCATCATCACAGCTTCCCCATCAGTCATAATGAAACAGGCACAGCAGCAGCTTGATATCTCCTTCTCTCCACCTTTTCAGTGTGCAGAAAGCACCAGATTCATGACCTATATTGCTTTTGATTCACAATCTAGAGCGCTTTTTAAAAGTAAACCTTCAAAAATACACACACATACAAGATTAACAGCTCYGTTAGCGCTGTCCTGGAGAGGATGCTCACTGAATCTAGGCTGTACCCAACAGAAGTACTCATAAGGTATGTTTTTTCAAACTATCTCCTAAGTTTTGTTTGTTTGTTTTAATCTMTTTTGTCTTTTATGTCCTTCTTCAAACCTCCCCCCATTTGTCTGCATCACTCTTGCGTGCAGYGCTCCTAGCTGGGCATAAGAGTTTAGCTAAAGTGACAGCAACACTCAGTAGACTAGAAAAGTGATGTTTTCCATTTTATGTATTCTGTCCTCTTCCTGCGTCAAGATCAGATTGCTGATCTGAACAGATCAATCCTTTGATATAAAGTGAAAAACAAAAACAAACAAAATGCATTGAATACCAAGCAACAGAGCTTCCATAAATGCCCAATGATTTACATGGAATTAGAATGAGATCAAGGAAAGAAGCAAGCAAAGTTGAGTAACATTCCTMAAATTAAGGTGTGGGGGTTTCTTTTCTGTCTATTATGTGAGAATTCAGATTCAGTAAGTATAAACAGACTAACATGAAGTCAACCAGAAAGGGACACACTTCCTTCTCAGAGCAGAAATACTGAGTTTAAACTTCTTCCTTCACAGCTGAATCCTSTGAGTTTGCATGCAGGAGGAATTCACCTTACTTGGCTTAGAGGGATGTGATTAATGTGTCTGCCTGCAGAAGATAAGGCCTCAGTAACTTTTTTTTYCCCTCCTACACAAGGAATAAAAGAGGTGAGCCTATTTTCTCTAAGCATTTCTCTGTGCATCTGTGAGAACCCAAAATTTGATGAACAAATTTAAAACGAGGAAAAGCAGAAGAGACAACTACCCAATGCAGACAAAAAAAAAAAAAAAAAGCCTAAGGTAAAACTACTTTAGTACATTAATCAAACTTGGAAATTTAATAGAAAAATTTAATTTCTAAACAGAAACATTACTTTGTATGGTTAGCTCAGCCCCTGCAGTTGTACCAGTGTACATGAGGTGAATACATGTGTGATCCTGGCACTAACAGGGGAAAAAGAGGTATTTATGATTACTTCCATCATTCAGAGTATAACTTACTCTAACTACGTGGATGTTATGTTTTGAGATGTTATCAAGTGCTAACTGACAAAAGGCATTAAAAAAAAAATAGATGTGAGGTCTGTGTGATGGCAAAACAGAACATTAGCACTGGTGCCCAACCAAGCAACGAACATAGGGGCCTAGGAACTCAGAAAATGCACTTGCCAAAGCTGTTGCTAACTTTAGCTACACTTTATCCTGAAAGTCTCCTTTCTGCTGAGAATTCCAAGGATACTCAGAAAACTCCAGGTTGATTCTAAGAGCTCCGATGCTCTACAGCAGTTCTATAGCAGGTAAGGAGGAATCATCAGCAGGCTGTGCAAGTTCCTCAAGAAGAATAAACACTGAAAAGATTACTAGCATCAAGCACTTCCACACCAAATTATAACATCCAGTCAGAATCTGGGAAAAGTTCAGATTTCACAACATTTTCCTTTCTCCTATATGACATACACAGTGAGGGAAGCTTGAAAACATCTGCTAATAAAACATAAGCCAAAACCATCTTGACAGCAACTTAACAYGGTAATAGAGCACTCTGGTAAGTCTTTGAAAGTGGATGACATTAACTACTCAAGGTGAAGCAAAGCAAGCTGATAAACACTGATGAAGGTTGATGGATATATGGGGACATGGTGATTCAGTCTCAAAAGCCTTCTATGCCACAAAAACTGTTTTGAATTTCTTGAGTAATCCTGTTAACCATGTCTTATGGCATGAGTATTATGCCATTATAATGGCATGGCATTAGTATCTTTCTCCAAGTTTGACTTTCCTAGCCATTTATAAACAGAGAAAATAGAGACAATTAAATTTCTCTCAGACATCTTTAGCAACTCACTGGAAAGTGAGAGAAAACTGCAATTGGAGACGTCTGGAAAGCTGCCAGGTGCACCTCAGTGCAGTAGCTAAGGCCACAGCTGGACAAAGCTGGAAGCCACGAGCCCACAAGAGCCATCCTCCCTCATCAACACCCATATAGGGAGGCTGGCAGCAGCAGGACTAGCACAGGACCTCAACAATGCTCTGCTCAGATGAATGACCACAGGAGACCCCACCTGGATGAAGCAGCATGAAAACACTTTGGAGGTTCTTAATGGATAAATAAGAATAAACTTGCAATCATTACAGACCTCACAAATCCTGATGGAGCAAGGTAACTGAAATCCTGGCTGCTAAGAACACCCACTGAAGAAACATCTGCTTGGTATTTGGAGGATCTGGCACAAGGTAACCAAACATTCCAAACAAAGCATTTCAGGCTCAACGCACTAGCATTTTTAATGCCAGTGCTTTATCAGTAAAGGTAAAAGCAGGTCTGTTTGAAATATGACAGAGACATCAACTTAGGCCTGCCTTTCAGTGTGCAGGAGACATTTGATTCATTGTCTATAGTGCTTCTGATTCATGACCTACAGTGCTTTTTAAAAGCAGACCTTCAATAACAAATGCACACACAGAATTACCATCTCTGTTAGCACTGCTCTGGAGAAACACTGACAATCAAGGCTGTACCCAGCAGAAATGCTCATAGGAGTACGAGAGGAGCAGAATCCCAAATTCCGAGACAGGGGATTGCAGAAAACAATTTATGAGTTTGGCTTTGGGCTAAGCCATAAACTTTTAACATTTACTGTGTTTTGTTTTACTGAATGATCATCTGAAAGAGTCTTTTTCTATCATGCATATTTTCTCTGATCAGATATTCTTCTGGAATGCAGTGCCTAGCTTTATCTTCAATGATGTATTTACTATATGGCACTGAGGCACTAGCTTGTACTTAGGAGACTTATTTAATGTCATCTGTGACTACGAAATGGCAATAAATGTGGCAAAAAAAAATAATATTAGAAAATGAAATTGAAATGTGAATCTTKATCTTCACTACCTTATCTGGTTAATATGCTCTCGGAGAAGTTATTTTTATAGCTTCTACCGGATAATCCACTGAATATTACATATTTACCATTAAGTAAGCTTTATGCTAATAACTGCTACCCCTATATTTAATAACTAGTTGTTACAAGTCAAGTTACAAGGCAGAGGTAACAGTCCCGTCTCTGCAACAGAGAGGTGTACATTACCGAACTTGCTGAGCATTATGCTGGGAACATTTTCCATACGGATCTTAGTTTGGAGTAGTAAAGCTAGTTASTAGCTTTTCTAGAGCTTTCTGAAAACATCAGTGGGCAAAACAAAACCAGGGCCCTCATGCATGCATACAGGAGAGTATGGTCACATTCGAGTTTTCTCTCTAGTTAAAGAACTGTAATTCAGTGACTTCTCTTCCTCATACAGGTTTCCCATCTGTCTCTAAATTTGACTCTTAAAAAAAAAAAAATCATAGCTTTGTACCTGTGTTATAGACTGGAACCCAGTGGTAGAATTCGTTCTGGTAGGGAACCGTATCAAACTCACTGCATTGCATCTGACGAAAAGTCGGCATGTTCTTGTGACAGGGGCTGATGTTGCACACACGATAGCGCTTCCTCTCTCCAGTGCAGTAGTCTCCTCCAAACTGAGGTCTGGAAAGGAAGCGTTGAGATCAGGCATGTAAGATTCTCAGCAAAATGAAGTTAACTTCTGCATTTTTCTAATCGTACCAGTTAGATAACAGTGTCTTTTCAATGGATTAACAAGGTTCATTCTTCATTCATTCAGGTATCCAAATAGGGCAGTATGGACCACAACTAAGCAGGAGCACCATCACTATCTGTTTAGGCATTCCTGTAGCAATTTTGGAAAACAAGATAAGGTCCATATGCACTTAGCCCTTCCTCTTCCACACCTACAGACCCATCTATCTGGAGCTCCAAACATAATAAAACATGAAAAGTGAGGCCTTGACTTCCCTTATGAAGGCATCACTAGCCATTATTTCCACCCATTGTACTTATTCAAGGCAGTATTATTAAAGCATCTTTTCTAATATTTACACAAACTTTGCAAGCCAAACAACAGGACTTTTTTTTTTCATTGTATGTAGAAATAATCTCCTTGGAAGATAAAGACTAAAGAGATAAAGATTACAAAAACAGAGCCAAGTGAATTTTACAGAGATGTTTAGCTGAAGAGGAGAGGTGTTCAATAACTGTCTTGCATCTGCAATAGCATCTGCTGAGAAAATTGTATCATTAAAAAAAAGAGTCTCTCCAGCCTCTAAAGTATCTCAAAGATCTTGATTAAAAGGAGTGGAAAGATTGTACAATCAACTTACTCTGGATTATTGCATGGTCTCTCTGCACTCTGAATTCCTGCCCCACATGTCCTTGTGCAATGGGACCAGGATGACCAAACACCCCATCCACCATGGACTGCTTCTGGAGTCTTGCCCACTGTAATGCACTCACCAGAGAGGCACCACTTAGAAGAGAAAGGGCAAACAGTTCAGAGTAAGTATCACAGAAAACCATAACTGCAAATAACCTTCATGAAGGTTAAAGCTTCAGTGGAGCTTTGAAGGAAGAYGCCACAGGATGTTCTCTCTTTTACCCAATGGCAGAGCTATTCGCGGTATTCCTGYAGGGGAGCTCAGTCACCTTGTTTTCTCCACATCGAGTGCCATCTGCAGCAGCATCCAGTTTGGAGCGGCAGGAGCCTTTCACTGAGCACCAGAGTGTTTGGCAAAGATTCTGCAAAAGAAAGAAAGAAAGAAAAATGCAGYAGGCTCAAACACGCCTGAAGCCAAAATTTTCAGAGGTCGTCCATGGTTTTATATATCAATTTACAAAGCTCTATGAGGACTGTACTTCCAGAGAGAGAAGTTCAGTTTTTGCAAATTAGCACCCCTCAAGGGGTCAAATTCAGATACTCCTCATTAGTGCACATCTATGGATTTAGTGAACAAAAAAAAAGTGAATATTTTGTATAGGTGTGTTAACCAAACTGCGCTTTAAAAGTTTAAATGCTCCCCTCATTCATTGCTCAGATCCCAGCTACAGACAGGAAAAAATGACTTTACAAAGTTTGTGCACTGCTGTTTACAGTGGAGGCAGATGGAGCCCSTATTATTTTCATTTGATGACTACTAATGAATACAATGTTTAATTCTGCCTTGTTGTCTGCCTGCAAACATGCACAATGAAATCAAAGGAGGTTAGAGAACCCATTCAGTGAGCAAAACAATACTCTTTTTCCAAGTGTGACAACCAAGTTCATGTCCTTCAACTCTCAAAATYGGATAAGGAGAGCTAAACGCAGCACTCTCAAGACATCAGTGATGTAAAAGCAGCTCTCYCGAACAGCTGGCAGGGGAACAAAAGCCCAGGAGCCTGGGAAGAGCAAAGGCTTGGGTTGATGAAAGCTGGCACAGCTTACAAACCAATCAAGCATTTGCATCCAGCCCTGATCAGCCAGCAGCAGCATTTGGATGAGTCTGAAACCCAGAAATTGGCTGTTAGGTTCTGGCCTATTTCTATCTAAAACAGCTAAGCTCAGGCACAGAGTGGCATCTCCAAGCACTCCATGCTTCAAGTGGGACACAGAGGAGCTTCGCACCTCTGCTCCTCAGTTGCTTCCTGGTGATGGACACATGCTGGAGTTGCCTTGCAGCTCCCTGTTTATAGTTTAAGAATAGTAGCACTTCTTACTGACTTTTTTTATGGAGCCACCACTGCCAAGAGGTAAAGGCAGAGCTCCCCAAGGATTCTTGCAGATGAATTTGTTTTTATTCAGAAGTTCATGCTTTCAGGCTTATTTTTAGCTATTATATCCAAAATATCTTTGTGCTTTTATTATATGAAGTGCATCCTCCACTCTATTTCCAATACCCAGAGAAAGCCACAGGTGGATAACGCTATGTGGATTTAAACTGAATGCAGTTACATGCTTACCTTGTGGACACAACCGGTTGCCAAAATCAAGTGCTTATGGAGGAAACTCAAACTTTTTTTTTTTTTTTTAAATAATATCAGTAGCAGTATGAAAAAATATCAGTATATTCAGTAATCGGTATCAGGAATTATCAACAGGGCACGAAAAAAACCTTTCTTCGCTCCTGTTTTTTGGGAGTAATATTCAGGAGTTCTTGACTAACGCAGACTCAGTGCAAGGATTTTATCACCAGCAATACAGTAAACRTCCAAACTCTGAAAACAGAATCTGTGCCATAAAGGGAGGCTGCTCTAAACAATCCCAAATTTACTGAATCGACTCAGAGTTCTGCAGATAAGGGTAATAAGATGAAGATTCTGAATTCCTACAGTATTTAGGGAGCTGAGGACCCATCTACCACTTGGTACATTCACTCCTCAAAATTGTATTTTGCTTTTCTTTTCCCTACTGGAAGGACAATATTTATATATTTCACATGTTGCTTAGAGCACTGACAGCCTAAATGGTTTGTGGAAATCATCATACGAGTTCTAAACCTTTTTGTTTAGTGTAATCACTGAATCCTTGGGCAACTTAAGCTAAATGCAAACTATTCTCTCAAAAAGAACCTGTGGATAAAATTCAACCATACATGCAAACATTAAAAGCTATGCAATAAACATGGTCAGTAATTGAGTGTTAACTAAACAGTGACGAGGCAAAGAACTATCAAACTTTTTAACCAAAATGATTGACTATATTGACTGTCCCCTACGCGAGGGAAGATCAAACTCATCACAATTCCTTGCCAGTGCAGTTACCTGCAAAACACAAGCCTGGCACTAAAAGCTAAACTAAAATGATATCTATTAATTTACTGACATTCGTCCAGCTCTAAATTGGCTAATGTGGAGATGCTGAATGTAAATGCCTATTAGGTTCACACTCAAAGAGAGACAGAATGAATAAATATTATAAAAATCACACTTTAAATTTTCTGTCTGTACCACCAAATTGCAGCAGCCGAGAAAACTGGAACAGCAGGTAATGAAAGCAATCTTTCAATAAATGTTTCAGACTCAGGCAGTGCAGTTCATTGCTAACCATTACAGCTGAGATTGGTCATAAAGAATTCCTCTAACAAGGGGGTAGATGAGGATCTACATAATTATCATAACAGAATAAATAATCAGGATCTACAGTCTCCAATCYACAGCTGTACATAATACCTTGCCTAAAACCCACTCCAGCATTGCCAAGGCCCCCCATCTGCCCTGGTCCTATTTAACAAGGAGAGCAAACCACGATGCTGCCTGGATGCAGCATTTACTGAATCTGCCACCCAACAACCACTAAAACTTAGTGATCTCTTGGTGAGATCAGCATTTCAAACCATAGTTTCTGAAGTGTTCTTCCATGTAGCATTATGTAGTATGGAGCCAAGGAACTAGGCAGGTATAGCTATGATAGCACAGCTCTACATTTTGGCAAATTTAACCCATTTTAGCAAATTTGACTCACAGTGCTTCCTGGGTCCTGTAGGGAGTCATGCTGACGTGGCTAYCGTGTTCACATGCATCTCTGCACAGCGCTGTCTTAACGTGCTGCAAAGATGAACCCTAGAAAGCCAATACTGCCCAACTCAACTACCCACTGCCAGATGAGATTAAGTATAAAAATACCTGTATAAATCTATAATTAGATACATTTAATCCCTATTTAATCCCTATAAATATTCTTATGAATATCTATATTCAACTTATATCAAGATTCTTTGAGGTACATAGACTGAATTTTTTTTCATTAGTTAAACTATCAAAAATGTGAAAAAGCGGGATATATAGGAAAACAGCAATGCCATAGGGTTTTTTTTTTGTTTGTTTGTTTGTTTTTTTTTTTTTTTTCTCCTCTAGATAACTTCTCCTGGAATTAAAGATTTGATCCCAAGGAAACAAATCTAGTGAAAGCTGTAATATTAGGTGTCATATTTTAGAAGGCAGGACTTAATATCTGTTGATCATTTACCTAAGAGCAACATCATAAGTTTAAAAAAAAAAAAAAWWACTTCTGAAGTGCAAACATCTCAATAGGCATGAGGCCAGATCCCACAAAGGACAAGGGGGCAATTCAAGTGAGTCAGGGCAACATTTCACTTTTGGGATCTCCAGGCTGGAATCAAAACACTCTGTTAGGGTATGTCTTGTGGGAGAATTGCTCAAGAAAGGGGAAATTRGAGGAAAAACTAGGGCCTAACTGAAGCTATGGCATTAGAGAGGCTGAGGAGACTTCTCGAGGTCTCTTGATGGGAAAGTCCTCTCCCATCTTCTAGGGCGAGTGACGATTGCGTGTTTGTACACTACGCACTAGCTAAGAAAACTATAAAACTCTGGGTATGCTGCTGCAATTGTASTTAACAACCAAGCTTCACCAGCTGCATTTCCACACTGTTAAATAAAGTTAAGCTCTCATTAGTACACGAGGGAAAACAYAGAGCACTTACATCCACATCTTCACAGAAGGTAGCGTTGGAACCATACTGAAGCTGGCACTGGTGATGTACATCATAAATCACTCCAGGAGCAATGACTGGGGACTTCAGAACTTTTTTTTGGGGTATATCATCCAAACAGAATCCCCATCCTCGGCTAAAAGATTAAAATTGCAAATTAATTAAAACAAAACCACGTCTTGTTTTTAAAAACCTTTTTTTAATTTCAACTTTCAATATCTTGTTAGTGATAATTCTTGACACAGCCTTTGGTAATTATGCTTCCAGATTCCAGCTAATCTAAGCTGAAAGTGCTGCTAATAAAGAGATTAGAGAAATCCAAATTGGATTTTTAGAGTAATTAGAGAATACCAAAATATTTGAAAAAACACAAGCTGCCTGCCCAGGAAGCCCAGGTATCAGTAACAATTAGACCAATGTCCCAGTTCCACACTTGGAAGAACCACTGAAATATGCAAAAGCAAAGGAACTCATGAGGTCCTTTGTTGATGGCCCCAATACTGAGCAACTCTCAGCTGCTATCACCTCTGCCTGTACCTGACAAAAGGCCACTCTCTAACTGGCAGAGGGTTCTACAGGGGCAAGACCTAACCTGTTAATTTGGAAATATCATCAAGTCATTATGGTTTGCAGTGCGACTTCAATGCATACTCCAGCCTCTACTCAAAGSTATATCATAATGCTGCTTTTAAAAACAAATATGAATTTGGACAAGTTACTGAAGTCAAGTACATCTTGTGGCCAACAAAAATATCTTGAATGTCCCAGAGTCCCAGGCAGAAAGGCTAGCAAGAAGCTGCAGGTTGCACCAAGTCTGAGCTGACACAAGACTGCAGTTTTTGAAATCCAAGATACTAAGTCCATAAACTGGGGAAAGCTCCATAATACTCTACAAGAAATGTAAATCTAAAACTCCATTTAGGTATCTCATATACAGTTGTGCTTATCTCAGGGAAGTGCTGCACCCTGCTCACTCACTCCAAGAAGCGTGTGATGTATTCCTTGCTGCACTGAGACCAGGTGAGGGGAGTGGGATCATACTGCAATTGCCGGGACATAATATACGGACGCTTTCCAACAGGCTCACAATCATTCTCTTTTCCATCGTGTTGGATACCAAAGCTAGAGATAAAAAAGTAAGAGTTAATAAATAATTCTATGACTAGGTCATATCACAACACTCCTCTACAGGGTTCAACAGTATGGGTAGATACTAGAGTTGCTTCCTTCTTTCAGTTAGCTGTAGATACCTCTGCCAAAAAGTCTACAAAACACCTGATCCAAAATTCACAACATTTTTTTCCAATAAGTTTTCAAGTAAATCTGTTAAGCAAAGCAGTATTATCAGGCAGAAAACAAAGAACACAGTCTGAAACCAACGTTACAGTATTTTAACGGAATCAGAATACTACTGCAYAACTTGGCTGGATTGCAGCAAGAAGTTCAAAGCACAAGGCTATATCAAAGCTGCTAGAACTAAGAACACTTCCTAGTTAGTAGTTTTTCGTTCTAACAGTTCTCCAGTTTCTCAGAAATTTGGTAACTCATGACATCTGCTCTTCCTTCCCCTCTTTACTGCCCACTGTAGGGAAGGAACCCTCAGTATCTTCTGGCTAGTTCTCTAATCCCTTTCTTCTGTCTATCGGTCAACTGTTATACTTCTACAATTAGTTTTTTAAAATCCAGATATTCAAGCTTTATTTCCAAAACAACATGTTTTAACACCCTGCTGCAATGTACATTTGGTAACGATTCAGAAGGAAAGGTCACCATTAAAGTGATTAACTCTTAGTTTCTCCAGCACTGTCACCTATCCCTGGTGGGGCTAAAACCTGCCTAGCATACGATATCTGATGAAATTGTGTAGACATGGGACRCTGGTAGTGGGATGTTTGTAGAGGCCAGATAAAATGTTAAGGCAAAAAGCAAAACTTGTTCCTAAAACTTCTGTATTTTACTGTTTGTTCCTTTGGCTAAGGACAAAGCAATTCTATTGACCTGTACAGTCATTTCAAGACTCTTACTACTTTAATTAAGATCAGGTTTTGTTACACTCTGTCTTATACCATTTATAAGCATGCCTTTAATGCTTGTTTCTCTTCAAATCCCTTTTTCTGGATTTGGACAGAGACACTGTTCTTCCATATTGCTGATCGTGCAGTGAATTCACCTCTACTCCTGCTGACAACTGCCTCATACTTCGCTTTAGAAAGCAGGTCTTTCCAACATGATGTTTTCAGATGGCTGTGACTTGTTAAGAGGCTTCCTTACTCAACAGCCTGMTGTAAAGACAACAGATCTACAAAGATATAGACACCTTCACTGTTAACATCTCTCTTTTCAGCTCATTACTTAATTGAGGACCTAGGTCTGATATTCATTTTCAGCATTATCTTATTAAACTACTTCCTTTCTGGCAATAAAGAAGGTCCAAAACTGGTCAATAGGATCAAAACTAAACAATTCTTTTATTATATTTTATATCCCACCAGGAAATGTAGGCTTCATTTTGACTAGTGGTTGGGTGCATAATGAAGGTTATGTGGATGTAGATAYAGCAGTGAACAAGTCCCCTAACCAAGGAGCATGGCCCAGCTCCCAAGCTGAAGTTTCTATGAGACAATATACTACCTAGGGAAAAAATATCAATTCTGAAACAGATTTGAAGTTACAGTGTTTCAAGTGAGCTTAATAAACCCACTAAGCAACCATAACACTCCCTCAATTCAAAAAATACTGAGGAATCAAATTTCTAGAAAAAAAATCCAATCACACAACACAAAATAGCCATGTCTAAAATTAAATGCACAGGAATTTGATTTAAGTGAATCCACAGTGGGAATATTAATAGACAGAAGTTGCCCACTTATTAAGAAAAACCCAAAGAGAMTTTGTTAGTTGGAAAGGAGATAACAGACACGATGCTCATGTCAAGCCTGAGTGGYTGGAGTCAGAAACGGTTGCTAGATAATCTGCAATAATGAAATACAATGATTTAATATAAATTATTTAATAATGATTTAATGAAATGCATGTTTTATGCACAAATAAAGGAATAATTGGAGATTACATCAAGTATTCAGATAATAATTCAATATGCACTTGGGAAAAAACAAGTATGGGACAGAAGTTCAGGCATGGAAAACATGTTTCAGTGGTATCTCTTTGGACCTTGATAATTTCATCCTGAGGTACCCTGTTAAAAGGAATCCACCAACTAGTTGCAAGTCAAAGGTCAAGAGCTGAAGAATGTCTTATCTTATTCCTCAGTTTAACAAAAAAATTTATATTTTGATTTCAATACAGTAACTTGCACCCTTTTTCATTTCCTTTTCRCAGAAATGCAAATTTGCAGTGAGAATTAGAGTAGCTGCTCATATTGACATTATTTGCAAAGTAATAAATATTCAATTGGTTCCTAACAATCTCTATTTAACGCACCAAGCAATAGTTGTTATTGCAAAGAATTACCTCTACATGGACAAATGAGACACAGACTTCATTCTTCATTAGGATTAGCTAAAACAAGACTTGCAAGCTACTTTTTGGAGGGTGTGCAGATGGACTAATGACATTGGTTTGAGAAAAAACACAAAACCCGATGATCTGAACAGTGGCAAACAAAGAATAAAATAACCTCAGCTTACTCCCTCTTCACTTTCAACTATACCTGTGTCCAAGTTCATGGGCAATAGTGAATGCCAGCGGAAGCCCCGAATCTTCATTGATGTTGCAGCTTCTGTGAGGCTGACACATGCCCGAGAGATGAGACAAACCTAAGGTTTCACACGGACGGTTCATGCTGGCACAAATATCCTTTCTAGAAGCACAACAAAGACTTGCCATTAACAGAACTTAAAAACAACTGAAGAATGTCACTCACACGGGGTGCCAGGTCTCTGCCTCCCTGCTCATCTCCRCAATGCTAACTGGTGTTGTTATCATTTTTATAAACATATCTGCAACAATATGTACTGGCATTGCTATTACAGTATTATACTACTATATAATAGTATTTACGTTGTGATATTGCCTTGAAGTAAATGTTTATTCTCAACTCACGTAAGAAGAAAGCTTCAAAAGTTCCASCTTTTAGAGCATTTTGATAATAGGACATCTGAAGTTTGCTTGTGCATGCCAGATGGTACATGGCATGAAGAATTCTCTCTTTCATTCTGCAGAGGGATTCACATCAGGACAGTTTTACCTCTAAAGGTATTTTCTCAGCCTCTTCGATTTGCCACTAAATTTCTGAGCAGAATTTCCCCAAGTCTCCTGCTGTGTCTTCCGAAAATATTTTTAAGAAAACTCTGTGTTTTGGGTTTTGCTGCAGAAGTGGCCCAGGCTACTGTAGTGCCAAACTTCCTGTAAGCTCCTTATGCCAACAGCTTTGTTCCCCCAGCAGCAGAGGCTGCTTCCCTAAGGAAACCCATGAACTAGGCTGYTTCACTGCCAGGATTAAGCACCTGAGTTAAGGCTGCAACTAGGCTTTAAATAAATAAATAAATAATAGCTGCAAGCTTTCTAGTTTTCTAAAAGAAATGGAAAGAGCAATACGTGTTTTGCTCCTGGGAGGGAAAAGCATTAATCCCAACCCCAAAGTTCATAAACTATCAAGGAGGAAATGAGAGAAATGCCCAGTTCAGGCCGAGGAGAGCAAGGGGTGTGCAGTCTCATCCGAGCCTGCTGCTGTAGATCAGCCTGGGCTGRTAAGAGTTTTCTCTTAGGGGAAATGGCTCACTTATTAAACAGAACAAGGATTTACATCCTGTATATCAGCCCTGCCAGGTAATTTCCACRCAGCCACCGAGGGGCCATCAGACCGGCTATGTAATCTACCCAGCAATCTGCCTGACCTCTGGTACAACTGAACCTCAACCTTGACTTCATTCAATTAAATGGTTTGAAGCCTGGTCAGTTACAGAAGTAAACCACTCATTGAGACTTTCTTTTTCTCATTCTTATTCGAACATTTGCTGATCCTCTTTCTTTATCATACCAATTTGGATTTTTATTTTTTTTTTTTATGCCTGCTAGACTCTTTTTAGCTAAAGACTTTTTTTTTCCCCCCCCTCTCAATTGTTTGTTTAAAGGCCAGTCTTTCCTCCCAGCTGTGTGCTGGCTGGACCAGTTTTTATTGACCTGTCCAACTTCTGTTCCATGTCTTGCCACAAACTCCTTGCATAACCTCAGCCAGCTTTTAAGATTTCTGTGCCTCAGTTCCTTACACTAATAAAAAAAAATTATCTCTGTCTCTGTACCACYTATATCCATAAAACCTACAACTTAAAGCTTAAAAATAAATTGCACTGTCTTCACAAATTATACTTCCACTCCAAAGTGCACCTCTTTTATTTTAGGATTTGTCATTATGTTACATTCATCTCCATGCTCAATTGCTCTGGTATATTCCCTCCAAGAATAAAGAAAAGACTAAATAAGATAGGATCAAGTGGGAAAAATGACCCAAGATCCTTYTGTCCCCAGGAGATTGCTAATCATCTGGGGACACATAGACCTCAATTTCCTGACTTAGATGTATTGCCAGTACAACACCCACATACATAAAAGCATTATACATGCTTTGAAAATAAAAACTAGTCTTTTTAAAAGGTACAGCAGGTCTAATCTTAACCACATGCTTTCATATTGCAGCACATGTGTTCCACCTACAAGAATGCTACACACACTCACATGAAGTTATTTTTGTATTAACATTGTGTTCCAGAAAAGGCAGCTCTTCATTGGAAAGGTCTCTCTACAGGGGTCAGAGCAGGTTGAACTAAAAGACGATACGAGCCTATAAACAAAAAATATCATCAAAAGGAACACAGCTGAACAACAGGGTTGCCCTTCATCTGCTGAGCTGCTCTGGTACCTGGTTAGGAGGACAGCCACATCATGGTGCACAGGGTTGACGTCGCTCTTGGGGTTGACGCTCTTTTGCCATTTGCAGAAGCTGGCTAATGTTTTATCAGCATGGTGAACTATCTTCAAGCCTTGCTAATGGGCAAAAAAGGAAAATATTATTGCAAAGATGACACTGCATTGCAATAACATGTCAATGTCAGACAATAGCTGTGAAGCTGGGTAAAATGCAATTAATAACAGCTTTGCCTGAAAGGAGAGTCTTCCTAATAAACAATGACATCTATTTATCTAATATCTTGAATATTAATATTGTGTTGCTAAAGAAAAATGGCAGAAATTAATATGTTTGGTRAGTTTCATAAAATCCAAAACCAAGAAGAAAATTTCTAACAAAAATATTTCATTTTCTCTTTAAAGTAAGTTTTCCTCTTGGTGTAAAGAAGTTAAAGATTAATTGGTCTACGACCTCCACTCTGTCACTCGGTGCTGTGAGAACAACTGCACAGTTAGGAAATTATTTACACAAATTACACATTTAAGGGTGTACTTCTTTCACAATATTTCTCAAGTGCACCACACTTCATAGATGTTTCTTCCCTATCTTATGATTACAGAGTGAATGTGTATTCAAGTTACGCAAGTTTCTTCTGCAATATAAAATATGAAAATATGCTTCCATATGGCATCCATTTCATCTTGCCTCAGCTTAAGTAATTTTTTTTACAAAGCATCTAAACACAGATACCAGATCTTCAATTTCAGAAATATCTTAATGTCAGATATTTAAAGACACTCAACTATTGCTTCTAACACCGCCATGCTCAATTTTGCAGGACTTTTGTTCCTTTTCAAACCTGCCACTGAAATTTAGCAACAACCTTCTATCAACAGATATTGTGGACTTACTATTCTAACTGCCCTGTTAGGTGGGCAACTATATTTTTGTCTGCATATCCTTACATCAAGAGCTAGCTGTGTACCTTAGGCTCTRTTCTAACATTTTTTCCACAAGGCAGAGCCTACCTCCATAGCTTGGTTCACTACCTTCAATAGCTTTGGATMCATTTGGCTTCCAGCCTTAAACCATGAGCCACTGAAGACAACCCCCTCATAGCACTCCTGCAGCCAGTGCAGGCTACACTATGCAGTATTTTAAAACCTAACTAGTTAAAATGGTAATAATCTGCACGTATTTAAGCATGTAGCACATTATTTGTGAATGACAGCCACAGCAAATCATTAATATGTGGTTAGCTTAGAGCAATTAGCATCCACTTAGTCCTTGTTCTGGAGTTTTCAACAAGGTTCACAGCAGTAAATGCGTGTTACAGCTATATAAAAATAAATGTACTTCAGAGATCTGTAAAAATGCCAGCATCATACTTTATAAATACAATTCAGGTAATACTGGGTGATYAGACTGTGAGTGATGGCACATACATTAATTTCTGTTTCTCATCTACCATTCTTCCTCGGCCCATATTCGTTTGACACTGGAGAGATTCCATTTCCCTCTTCCTAATCATCCCATTTTAACTGTATTCTCTTTGGGGATTTTATGCAGAAACACTTGAAGTCATAAGCTAAACACTGTGCTATCCAAGCTAGCATTTATCCTAAAAACAGACATGCTAAAGCCAATAGATCAACATAAGAACCAACKGAAGAAATTTCAAGCAAACAAACCCTCTTCTCCCTAATTATGCCTCACAGCATTGAAATCCCAAGGTTCTTAATTGACTTTCTGAGGAAAATAAGATCCTTACCTCCTCCTCCTCAAAGAGGATGAGCCGTACGAGCACAACGTGAATGGCATTGCCAATACTCGGATCATGGAACAGTCCCGTGACCTGTGCCAGAGCCAGGAGGTATGAGATTAACTGAATCCTCTAGAGCAGAACAGAACTTCAGAGAGGAAMCATGCCGTTTACTTTAAGCATCTTTGCTTGTTTTCTTCTCTTGTTTTTATCCTCAACACACTTCATTGAAAGTTGCACTGAAATGCAACCACTGTTAAAAACTGTAATGGACAACTCTGCCAAATGGGTGAAAATACAGGATTTGGCAGAAGTTATTCATTTAAGGAACAAAAAGAGACTTTCACACCCAAGATTATGCCTATTTCTCTTGCAGAATTCAAGAGCTTTGGGCCTGCATCCATCACTGTCATTTCAGCCCCTTCAAAGTTCCTGACAAACATTAGTGGGAAAAAAAACCATCATCTACCATGGTTCAATATTAACAGTGACGTCCACTCAGGAATGAAGAGGAGCTGCACATCAAATCTCCATGTTTTGAGTTGATAAGAAGCGGTTTACGACACAACGAAGCAAAAGGGAGATTGCAGTAGGCAAAGGCTTATCAGCTAAGTGATAGACACAGTTGCATTTTCACAGCACAGAAGAGGATAAGAGGAAAAGGAAATATAACAAATTCACACACACAAAAAAAAAGACCAGACATTAGGATAAGATCTGAGTTCAGAAAAAGCTTGGCTCAAATGAAATACAGTAATAAATATCTCAGCAATGTCAGACTAGGCAAGAAGAAAGGGAACCAGAGAAGGAAATAGCCAGAATCAGTTTGTATGAAACAAGTCATACATCACAAGAAATACAAACAGATAAAACAGATTGTGTTTGCGTCAAAACTGCTTTGGAAAAGACTATTAAAAGGCGGCATTACTGGGAYAAAGTGAAAATGCTGCTTTTGAGGCCTCACGTGGATATGGGTCCTTTTCATGGTGTTAGACTAGATACTGGGGGTAACGTTAACATTTCAGKTACAAACTGTAGAGAAAATGGTAATACCTGTTTGATCCTGAATCTGATAACGRTAAGGTTTTATTTTGCATATTGTCCCTGGGTGGACAAAACCTGACAAAGTCAAATCAGCCTTTTGTTTATTCACGCTCCCTGCCTCGCTAGCTAGTCAGACAGCTCAGCACACAGCCAGGCACATATTGCATAAACACGAGGCAGAGATCAGATACCATGCCTAGAATTTATACTGTGATTTATTTCATAGATATAATGTATGAGTCAGATGAGAAGGACATAGGAAAGGACATCCTCAGACTCTGCAAAGCCAATACCTGCTATAATAGAGATAACACAAAACATGAGCTGTAGACAACAGCAGAAAACACTATTACTTTTTTTGAATCAAGATATTTTGAAACTTGCCACATAGGCAAGTTGCCACGTTGAAATGTAAGCTAATTTTTTTTTTCATGCAGATTTTATTGGAGGCAGGATACTGAACTATTAGTTTGGAAGAAAAGATAGTAATTTTTCAAGTGTGCAATGGTAATGGCAGAAAGAAAATAATCATCTGAAGAACCCAAGTGCAAATTACACAAATAATCACACTATTTCTGCTAGATACAAACCCATGTACTAGCTGGCTAACTGAACTTTAATAAGTCTCTCTCTATAAACTAAACAACCTTCATAAAGTTGGGAAAGAGCTTAAAAACGGTACAATTTCAAGTGGGCTCTGCAGTGCCTCTTATTTACAGACATGGAAAAGAATTTGCATGTTTTAAACCATTGCATTTCTCTCGATGAAACTGCTAATCCTAAAACATCAATGAGGAGCAGGCTGCAAGGGAGGCAGGAGATTAAAAACCAATCATTTCAATAGAATTAAATTAGTGACAGAATTTATAGCTCTGTAACACAACCCTCACAACTAAGAACTGTAAAAGCCACTCTTGCTAAAACCCAAAGGGGAAAATTATATTTATGTAAAATAAAAATGAAAAAGAGGCTTAAAAAGACACTGTTAATACATGAGATATTCTTTTTCTTTCAGTAAATCATGTTACAATTGTTGGAGCATGGTTAGAAATACAATTATTAAAATTAGSTTCATTCACCTAACTAAAAAGGGAACACTGTACATACCATGTTCATGATAGTGAGGATATACGATTCCACATGGTCACTTCCATGATATTCAACCATCTTGCTGTCAGCAACCACAAGGGTCTCCACCCATCGCTCCTTGCTGACAGAGCGCCGAGAAACTTTCCGGACAGCTGCGTGATTTCGTTCCCATCTTTCCCTCTGATGCTCTTGGTTTTGGAAAAAGCTGATGGTATCTGTAAAGGAACGAGCAATCTTTACTTAAAAACGTTGTCAAGCCTGATTCACTTTGTCTATGGCTATGCTATTTGTAGATAGGATGGCAGCACTGCAGAACCATAGGACAGTTGAGTAGATTGGCTCACAGGCTGAAAAGGACTTCTAGCTGCTACCTACCATGCCTCCTCAAAGCAGGACCAGCCTCAAAATGACAACAGCTGGTATAGGGCTCTTACCAGTGAAGTGATGAATGTCTCCAAGGATGGACTAAACAGCACTCTGAAATACGCACTCAAAAGTCACTCCCACTAAAAAACTAGGCATTGAGATGCTAGATACAGAGCAAAATTTTWAAAAAAGTCACAAATTGGGGATGCCCTTTTCAAGAAATTTCTGCTCCATGATTTGGTTCACAACCTCTTAATGACATCTGCCTGTAGTTTCAGATACAGGATGCACTTTCTCCACACGCCGCTCTTCCTCTCAATGACCTGTACAAGCCATTTGCTTTGTGCATGGGAAATATCGTCGCAGGAACCCCGAAGAGCGAGAAGGCTTCACCAGCAGGTGTCACSTGAACACCAAGGAGGCACGTGGCTGCAGAAACTCCACCACATGTGTCACGATGGACAGGTGCGAAGCTTGGTGCTTCCTCTCGGATTTGGGGATCTGTGCATCTAAGAAATCCTTTCAGAAAGTGCTCTTGCTCTTTCAAGTTGCTGGCAACCTTGCACTGTGCTCAGTGGGGCTAATTTCTATCCTTTTCCTCCAGCTTTGAGCACCAGCCAACCGTGCCAACAGGGAAATACTGGGAATGTAAACACATTTAGGCCTGGAAATGATGTGAGATGCCAGTTCAAAAGCAACTGGTGACATCTTCCCAGCCAAGAAGCCAAAGAGACACTTCTGTGGGGACCAAAACTTCCCATGTCCTGGGATAGATGAGCAATGCTTGCTATTTTGATAGATACTGCAGTGAGTCCTTTGGCATCTCACAGCCTCTTCAGCATCACCTCCACCTTCCAAGACCACCCATGGGCAGGAGGCAGGTACCCACCACGAGCGAGTGCCGGGGTGCAGTTACCCAGATCCCTCTTCCCTTGAAGCTTAGATGACCTTGCAGCTAAGTCTCCAAGCCCTGGGTTCACCCTGGCAGAAGATTTGTTAGACCTGTGCCATGACGGCACCTTTTGCCCTTCAGAAGAACTAAGTTCAACCAGAAGGTATCGCTAGGGCCTCAGAATTCTATTAAATAGAAATCTACATCTCCTTGGATAGCTTTTTAAAGTATACTGTACAGGGTTGAATTAATACACTAAGAAGAATGCCTGATATTCCATATAATGACTCTATATAATACAATAAATAATAAGATATATATTTTATATATAAGATATATATAATGAGAACATAATAAATTGATCAATAATAGTTGAAGGCACATTTCTTTTTGGGGTAAAGCAGTATTTGCATTTAAAAAGATGATATATGTTCTACTTGACAAGAAGGTTGAAAATATTACTGTTTTTGCCCAAGGCAAACAGCATAAAAATTGACGGAATGTAAAAAACTAAATTATATAAAAGAATTGAAATAAATCTGTAAAGTTCTGTTTTTTATTATCCGTACATTGTAACAATAAAAGTGTAGCTATATTGATCTCCCTTGTGATTAGTAACCTAAATCACTGCTCGGTGACATCCCATGCACTCTGACCATATCCTGTAGCTATATCAAAAGTAAACAAGTTAGTTAACAAGGAGCCAAGTCAAGGGACACAATGAGAGGCATACATCTTGCTATCAGTCCTGAAGAATGAGCTGCATGGAAAGCTAGCTTCTTTTAAAAACAAAACATATTTTACAGTATAAGAATTTTTTTTTCTCTACTTGTTTTTGGGTTTTTTTTTTCCCCCCAAGGGCAGGAGAATGGTCTACCATTGCTATAACTTCCAAGTCAACTCCGTAACACCAAGCTGCAGCATCATTCCTACTGTCAGTTCAGGTTTTGTTCAGTTATCCTACTGATTACCTCAATTAGGAGCTATTAATATGCTGCATTCATTCCTCTGTTCTGTACATGTACGTTTTTCAACTTTTTTTTCTTTTTTTTTAATGGAGTACTCAGTATTTGTACTTTTTTCAAAGGCATTTCATATCAAGGAAAACCTTCCCCGCAGCAACCCAAAGAGAACATTTTGGCTAGATAGCTTGGTAAGTGACTTGTTCCTGGCCAAAGGAAACATCACTTCACTTTTCAGGCTTTATACTYATATCCAACAAGGAATTCTGCCTGTTGCCTAGGCAAGTGCAAGYGCTGTGCCCCAGGGAGATAAGAATACCTAAGGGCAGTCAGACTGCAAGAGTGAACAATCCTCAGGAAGTGCAGAGAACCAGCACCTCAGCTATGCATGAGGCCATGGATTACTGCAAAACCACAGAAAATAGACACAAGTTGTGAAAATCAAAGCCAGAGAATCAGAGGGTGTCTCTCATTCAGTCTCTCCTTAGCGATATTCTGGATAGTACTTTCCTTGGAAGAGATCAAAGGATTCACCTAAGGATTGAATTCCAGATGTTTAAGCCTCCTGACAGCTTCCTAGTTACACGATGCAGAGCGAGAACCTCTTGGAGGAGCTACACTGGCACATAGGCAGCTGTAAAGCTTGGTTTTATTTCTACTGTTGTAACTCCACTAATGATGGCTGAATTATCAAGCGGTTCATTCTGAAGCAAAACTCATTTTCCTTCTGTRTTAAATAGCGAAGTGCTGCAATGATTTCTGCTTGGCTGATAAGTCATAGGCGCTCTGCTCTCCAAGAACAGAAATCCTAACCCGGAGCTTGCAAGGTCAGCACAGCCAACACAAACAAAATCCACAAAAAAACAAACAAATACCACACACACAAAAAACCACACAAAACAAAACAAAAAAACCAACCAAATAAACCMTCTCCAACACCAGAGAATCCTCCATAAAAAAAGGGGGAAGGGGGTACCTGAACCCTGTGGGTTCCTGTGAGGGTTAAGGAAAAACAAACGTTAATTTTGAAGAAGCAGAGGGTTATTTGAGGARTCAGTAAGCATTGAAATCCAACCACTGTCTAATACGACATGAATAAACACATGAACTAATAACAACAGATATTAATCTAGTGCTAAAACAAACAGAGAAGTCCAACTGAAGACTAAGAAGATAGATGGAGGGGTAACTGAGCTAACAAAAATAAAGGTARGAGAAATCAGCAGCGTTTTATGAAAAGTAAACATTATCCAACAACTTTTTGAGCCAGAGCTAACAGAGGACTTGGGAATGTCCAAGCAAAGTGCTCCAGGCACCACACTGGAGGCATCCCAAAGAAGGGGGAAGCCTTTCCTCCTTCACTCACATTTTGTGAAAAAGAAAAATTCTGGTTCTAGGCTCTGAGTCCCCATTTCTGGCAGGGGCAATCCMAGGCAAAGTGCCTCTGTCTCTGAGGGAGTTACAGGGTAAGACATGCACCGGGGCAGCATTTTTCAGCCAACTCCCCATGCAGCATGCTGCCTGTTCAGGTTTACACCCATACAGAGCAACGGCAATGCAGATGCCTGCGCTCAGCAGGAGGCACAACATGAGACTGGAGTGAATTGTCCAAGATCCACATGCAGCTCCAGGATCAGCTGCCTCTTGCCATTCAGGCAGAAAACAACATATTTGTGTTTATAAAAATGCTTTCTTATGGTCACTTGCAATACAGGTGAACTGGTACATTTGGTCAGCAAATTCCTATTTCAATATTCTATTCCAAAAAGCTGCCTACTTTTCTATTCCAAAAAGCTGCCAAAAACCTACTACCAGTAGTATATGTTGTCTTGAGCAGCATGGTATTATTGCTCTGAGTTACTGTGGTAACTTCCTATTAATCTACCAAAAAACAGAAAGACAACAGCTTATTGAGCTCCCCTTTTCTGACTCTGATGCAATACTTGAGAGAACAAAATTAGTTCTGAATGCTGACAGTGCAAGAGCACAGGCTCACACACTATACAAAAAAGCTGCTGTAAAACAAATAGACGAATTTAAAACAGAATAGCTATCTAAAACAGCTCCTTTTGAGCATTTCTGAACAGACTAAGCTAAATCACACAATTGCTTTCTGAGCATCAAATAAATATATGTTCATTTATAAATATGTATATAAATAAATATGTGAAATATATATTATGTGTTATATGTGTAAATATGTAAAACTATATATAAAAATATATATATGTAAAACATTTATAAATACGTTCATTTATAAATGCATTCACATAGGAAATTATTATAGCTATTTATGCTGAAAACCCCAAGACCAAAGATGTCACCATGAATACTCAAGAAAAGTAAACAGAAAGCTGCAAGCTTTAACTTCAACATTCCTGCTGTCAAAAATATGAAATATTAAGCAGTGCAGTCACATCACTTACGCAGAATGAAGCTAAAATTGGGTCTGTGATGACTGATGCACTGAATCAGATAGTGCTGCTAAGTGCATCTGCCACACATTGCCACACAGGCTGGAAGGGCAGAATGAGAACTGTCCTGAGCTACTGGCATCAGGAGCTGTACAGGTAACATCCTCATGGGAAGGAGCTATATCTAGACCTGCCTGCATATGTTTTACAGCTAAAATTTACCTCCTGCCTGAATYGCCTATTTTTTTCTTCCCCCAGAGGGAACCCAAGGCAAAACAATTCCAATTATTTTCAAAATTTCTTGATGGGAAAGTGAAGGAATCTTGATTCCTTCCTTCTGAAGTCTAGCACTTTTTGTGGCCATCCTATCACGCTGTACAGGCACTGCTTATATTAATACAAGACATCCAGGATAGTTAAAAACAATAAAAAAAAAGAATAGAAGCGTGGGGAAAAAATAACCTTACCCTTCCTTATCACGAAAATACAAARCAGGGAAATTAGCAATTACTAGTTAGAAGTTTTTGAAAAACTGTTAATCAACAGGACACACAGAAGTATAAAACCSAAAGACTTTGAAA